GTACCTTAATTGGAGTTATAAGTAGTTATAAGTAGAGTTACCCGAATTATAACCCTAGTTACTAAGTCCCATGATCCTTTATGTATGGTTGGAAGGCAAGAAGGAACTGATGGTAGTTGGATTCAAGATGAGGGTTTTAGGGGTTTCGGGTTTCGGTATCCGAACGTCCTGAGGGACAGGACAGCGTTGTCCATGCTTTGGCGCTCGAACACAAAATATAATGATGGGATTTTCTGCGGGTTTCCGTAACTAGATTGCCGTTTAGAGCGCTTGGGTTCAGTTCAGGCTTGGTGAAGAGGTTACGGTTCTGAGTGGTTCGGAAGGTTGCGCCCTGGACTCTACACTCGCAATACTATGCATGCTCCAAAACCCAACACCCAAAAAAACACACAACCCCTTAAACGCTAAATCCTAAAGTCCTACAAGCTCTCAACCCATGAAGTAGGGCGTTTGGGATTTGGGATGTCGCACCTCGCAGAGTTGCGAGTCCTGGCCAGAAACGTCAGCCGCATCACACCTGGGTCGAGATTCAAAACTCAATCCCAACCCCCAAAACGGTGTGGCATTTATGGGTTGTTTTCGGATTTAGTAGAGCTTATGCGTACTAAACCCAACAACCATCAAACCCGGGTCAGCGCCGGATGTTTGCGTGGGGGCTCAAGCCTAAAGTTCCCAAATACTAATCAAACTGGCTTGCCCCAAAAAGGACATAAGCAGTGCACAGGGATATCCCTACCATATTGGGCTTCATTGTATCGGGGCTTATGTGGGATATCCCTAACCCTAAACACTAAACCCCTAAACCCTAGACCCTGAACCCATCCTTTTTTTAAACCCTAAACCCTTTTTCGGGGCTCGAAGCCTGAGTCGGTTTGGCTTTGGGTTTGGGGCGGAACGTTACTTAAAGGATCATGGGACTTAGTAAGGGTTCTTAAAGGGCTCTTTAAAGGGATCTCTAGGCTTCCTTAAAGGGATGTATGGGGTTTACGGTTTAGGATCTACTTAAAGGATCATGGCACGTAGTTTCTAGGGTTATAATTCGGGTAACTCTACTTATAACTACTTGTAACCCCAATTGAGGTACTTATAACCTTACTTATAATATTAAGTCCCATGATCCTCAAAGTAGCAGCCTAAACCAAGGTGCAGAGCATCAGCCTCGCACAGCAGCTCACACTCCTGAGCGCAGGTGCTAGGGTTTAGGGTTTTGGGGTTCGGGGTTTGGAGTTCAGGGTGTTGGATGCATGGTTTAGGGTTTGGCGTTTAAGGTTTAGGGTTTTTTTTTAAAGTGCAATGGCGTCTTTCTGGTTCGCGCAGATCCGAAACGTCGCCCGCCACACCTACGGGGCATGCACTCTGAGAAAGCATCGTCCAGACACTTACAATCTGGTTTAGGGGTTTAGGGTTTAGGGCTAAGGGTCGAAGGATTAAGGGTTGAGCGGTCGTGGGTCGGCTGTGGGTTCTCTGGTTCTTGGAAGGAAATGGCCGGAATGGATCCCTACCAAAACCAAAACACCTTGAGGTCCCTTACAGTGCAGTTTTCTGGCTGATGATGGAAGGTTCAACTTCAAGCTTAGGGCGTGGTGCTTTAGGCGTAAGTTTGGGTTTCGCTTCCGAGCCTTTCTTACGGGCTTTTTGGTGTTCGCTGGAGGGTATTTCATGCATCTATGATGAGATGAAGTTTCTGAACCATTTTCCAAAAGGCTCGAGGTGAAACCGCAGCGAACCCGAATGTTGCCCTTGGATACAAGGATCCTTACTGTAAGCACCCTTGAGTCCTGAACCCTGAACCCCTAAAACCCTAAACCATAAACATTTGTTGAAACGCACACGAACCTTCCAGTTACGAAAGGAAGGTCGCCAAGGGCATCGCGATGAAGAGCCTACTACAACTGGCAGAGTGCAGAGCATAGGGGATCTAACAATTTTCTGATGGTTTGGACGTGCATGCTTGCAAAGAAATAGCTACTTGCATTCTGCGCCGAAAACAGATGCGCACAACAGTCAAATCAGCCTAAACCCGAAACCCTAAGCCGGTTCAGCTTCTGCCGGCCACTGCCAAGAACTGTAAACCCCACAGGTCCAGAGGGTTGGGGCTTCAGAGGCTTGAAGTCACCCCTAAACCCTAAACCCCAGAACCTCACCAGAAACGGTCTGAAAACTCACCCCAAACCCTAAACCCTAAAAGGCCCTAAAACGAAAACTCACTGCTGCCGGGACTCCGCTTTGTCAGCGACCCGTGCTTGGTACTGCGGGGGCGCTCTCGCCATGGAGGGGCCGCAAGACGACTTGTACTGGCTTAATGGAGGGGCCTTAATAATGATTAGAATAGGGTTCCATTGATGGTGGGGGGTTCTATAAGGGCTTCTTTCAGGGATCCAGAAGGGTACTATAATATAGAGGCCTTCATAATTAGAATAGGGTTTGGGGCCCCTGTATAGTATAATCATAATAAGGAGCCCCCAAAGCAAATTTAAGTGATTATAAAGACCCGTATTAGGAGTTTGGCGGCTTGAGGTTTAGGATTCAAGACCTGTCCATCAGCAGAAGGACAGGATTTGTGCTTAGGCTTTGGTGGTTTAGGGCTGAGGGATTTTGGGTTCGTCGTCGGGGCTTGCGGGGCTTCTGGCTGACAGGGTAGTGTTTAGGGCTTAGGGTTTAGGGCTTAGAGTTTAGGGTTTAGGCTTTAGGGTTTGATGAAGTTCTCCGGAACTGGATGGCATTGTGTTGAGTAAAGTGTGTGCGGGGTCGTTCGAATGATCAGCATGTCGCTGCTCCATTGGCTTTTCTACGTCGGATGGTCGTGGGGCTCAGGTCATTTGTCATCCACCTCAAACTCTCGACCCAAGACCCGAGCCTTGACTATAATCGCTAAACTCTGAAAACTACACCCTCAAGCTGGCAAGCCCTGAACTCAGGGTTTAGGGTTAAACAGTCATAAACCTTTGAACCCTAAACTCTAAGCCGAAAACCAAGAAATCCTTAATCTGACATCCTAAACCCTGCAACCTAACCTCTAAACTCTAAAGTTGAGCCTCAGTGTTTGGCTTTACGTCGCCCGGGCTAAAGTTGGAGGCTCGTGGGTCAGGGTTGCAGGTCTGCAGCCTTTCCCTCGAATTGGGTTTAGGATTATCTTTGTTTTCGGGTTGAAGGTTGAGTATTGAGGGTTTGGGGTGTAGGCGTGTGCCATCTCAGAAACATCTGTAATTAGGGACTATAATCAACTACTGTACTATTTCTAAGCCCGAAACCCTAAGCCAACTCTGAACCCGAACCCTAAACCCGAAACCCTAAACCCGAAACCCGAAACCTTAAACCCTCAACCCTAAACACTAAACCCTAAACCCTAAGCCCTAAACTCTGAACCCGAACCCCTCATTCAGGGGTTTGCGGCTCAGCTTGAGGCGCGTTTTTGTGCTCGTCTTGCAATGGAGGGAGTCCCGATTTAGTCCAGGGTTTAGGGCTTTGCGGGTTTCGGGCTTGGGATTTAGAGCATTGGGCTCAGCGTTGGGGCTTAAGGTTCAGGGATTAGGGCTTGGGGTTTAAGGGTTCAGAGTTTACGGCTTAGGGCGCTCAGGGTTTAAGGCTTAGGACTTGGGGTTTAGAGCCTTAGGGTTTCCTAGCCAGCCCCGGGCTCAAGCCTTACATGGCGTGGGTTTAGGGTCTAGGGCTTCGTGACGGTTCATGGTTAGGTCGAACTGGGTCTGTAGGTACTCACTCGCCTTGGGATTTCTAAGCATGTCCGGCTATGGTCACCTTAACTCATAACTTTGCTTGCTATAGGGGCCTTAATAATTGGGATATGGTTTTGAGGTACAGAATACTGCAAATATGAGAAGGAAACCTAGGAATAACATAGGCATGCGTTCCGCCTTTATTACAGCTACCCAGAACCCTGCTCTCACGTTTCTCCTTGGGCCACTGGAAGCCTCGAAAATCGCGGCCGGATCTGTTGATCGCGGCCACATGTGTCCCCACAACTGCGCGCAACGGATCTAGAAAGCTAGGATGATGCGAGTTTCGCCCTAAAAACTAACCCTTAAGCCCTAAACGCATCTTCCCAATGGCATCCATAAAGTTAGTCTTTGGAGCTGAACGAAGCTCCGCTAAAATCTAAGACGATCCGACAACCTTCCAGGTACAAGTAAGAAAGGTTTGAGGTGTAGGTAACCCTAAACCCTAAACCCTAAACCCTAAACCCTAAACCCTAAACCCTAAACCCTAAACCCTAAACCCTAAGGGATTTGGGGGGGGGGCGCCCTAACCCAGGAAGCCTCCTTGCAAAAGCCTTCTACAGCTAAAAATCTTGTATAATACCCTTACAAAACCTGAAGAATCCCTTTTCATGTAAAACCCGATACAGCCTTTCTTGAAAAAAAACCCAAAACCCTAAACCCAACAAGGGAAACCTTGAGCCAAACTAAGACTCACTGATCAAGTCGAGGCCGACCGGGAGGGGAAGTCCGCCCAAGCCATCCTCCAGCTGAGGATAAGCAGGTTATGAAATATACATATTTTTCTATATATATATATATACATAGACTTAGAGAGAGTACTTATGTATGATAGCTGAAGTTTTGGAATCTGGTTCCTCTTAACGGCCCCATATAGGGCTTCTAGGGTTTTGAATTCCTTTAGAGCGTTCCTTTAGGGGTTCTACAAGGCTTTGTGCGAAAAACCTCGAATTAAATGAAAAATTTGAAGTTTCCCAGGCTACCAGCTTGACACGTCTAGTTACCGGTCAGTCAACCCTTGTGACCTTTTTCCACGGGGGACTTGGGCCAAGTGCAATCGCGTAAAGACATAGCTAAGGACCATAAGAATAGCAATGGAGGCAGGGTAAAATCTACACCCCCCTCGCCGTGCTGCTCGAGCTAAGGCGGATAGTACATGGCTCCAGGTTGCCCTGGGCTTCAACGGTTTTGAAGACTTGCCAAAGCGAGCATTTATAAAGCACAACGGGGAAGCCCTGCAGGTCCGAAGCAAATCAAAATGAGGACTCAGCGCCTATGGGTGCGGTTCCATGCATCCCACTCGGCCTGAGTGTAACCTCCACGACGCTGGCGATAGTACTCGTCCCACTGGGCCTGAGTATAGCCTCTGTACATTGGCTCAGGTGCTGTCGTGCGACCACGTCCCTTTTGGGATGGGCGGTTCTGGACTGCAGCCTGGCGATTGCGCTCTGCCAGACGTTCCGTTTGGTCTGTCTGGTTCTGAGCACTACGGAGGCTATCGGTAAGAATCTGTCCGATCTCAGTTGTGATGCCTTCAATTGTGGTAGCCGACACGTAGACCTCGCCGTCGAAAGTCAGGATCCTTTTTGCAGCGTCATTCACTGCTGCGACCTCAGCATAGAGTCGCGGAGGGAGGAATGCACCGAGGTAGGTCAAGCCGATGGGGACATCCGCGGTATCATCGATAAACCGCAAGTTCCTCAACGGCTCCACTTCGCAGTGGGCATAATAGACCAACTTCGCAGGCGGGACATTGCCACCACCATAATGGGAGCCGGCACGCAAGTAGCGCTGCTCCTCACTGCGCCCTGGATCGGGAAGCACAGCGTTCGACAGGTGATCGAATTTCTGCATGTCCTCGAGGTTGCGGCCCTCTTGCATCATCCTCACGTTGAACTGCGCGTCCTTCTCGAAGCGGTCGGACACGGTGTCAAAGTTCAACTTGGCGGCCCTGATCTTTCGGTCTTTGGCGTCACGAATGGCGGCAGCTTCTGCGCTCATCTGACCACGTTTCTTTGGTCCCTCGCCCAGGCCTCGAAGGTCACTCGCAAGGAGATCATCGATGGGCTTCTGGGCTCCGGTCGCAGCGGTGGCAAGAAGGCGCTGGCGGAGTCTCGAATTCTCAAAGACTCGCTTTGTGATCTTCTTAGAGTCATCCGTCTGGGGAGCCTTGCAACGGAGGCAGAACAGCATGCCGTTGGCAACGACTGCTGCGCACTCGCGGCATGGGTGAGAGCCAAGTGGGTAAGGTTCATCCTCACCCGCATCCGTTGTATCGCCTTCATCGACTTCGACCTCAACCTCAACCTTTGTTTTCGTCAAGGTCGAATGCACCAGCAGCATCAGCAGGCTCACCCTCGCGGGTGGCTTCATCCAAGTCCATGCTTTCGTCTTTTTCGGCGATTGCGGCGGGCTTGGGAACCACCTTCGGCATCTTCTTTGAAGCAATCGCTTTGGGAGCGATAGCCGCCTGTTTAGGGGGCGGTGCCGATGATGAGCTTGCTGCTGCGGCCTCCTCATAGTCGCGCTTGGCGCGGAAAATGCGCTCTGGCTCACCCTCGCGGGCGGCTTCTTTGTGCTCGGCGACATAGAGCGGAAGGTTCTTGTTGCTGGTGTCGATGGCGGACAGCACGCAATCGGGAGGCACATTGTCCCGTGTGAGGACGCCGTCGGTCTCCGTGACGAAGAAAACGCATCCAGCGGCGATTGCTCGCTGCGTGTCTATCGTCAGCTCGATCGGCTGGTTGGAGCGCATTCCACTCTTGTAGTGGGTGTCGTCCAACTTGTACGGGGACAGGTAGTTGTGGGACCTGTCTGACCTCGCGGAGCCGGCGATCATACCATCGCGGAGGATCCCCTTCATTCCCTTTTCATTCGTGCGGTGGAAGAGCTTCGGGGGGGTATCCTCGCGGGAGAGCACAGTGACCCCCCTGACGCTGCTCTGTAGGTCGGCCTCGTACTCGGACAATCCGCTGTAGAACCTGGTCGCGAGGAAGAAGTCCGCGTCCGGGTTATTGCCGATGAGCTTGGAGTTGTGCCCTTGGGCCATCCTCACCCGGACAGGGAATAGCGGCTGACCCAGGGTGTCCTTCATGGGGACATCAATGCCCAAAAGTCTGATCCGTCCCTTGTTATCGGCTTTCGCTGCGCGTAGCAGCTGCCTCACACCCCAGCGTGCGTTCCGTGCCGTGTTGAAGACCTGGAGCAGAGTGTCAACGTCTGCCCAGCACCCACGGTCAAAGATCAATGCAGGGAAGTCGTCCATTTCATGGCCACGCAGCAGCTTGGTGAGGAACTTCAGGTCACCGTGTTTGAATGTCACGTGCCTGTCTCCCACAATGTCCTCCGGGTTAAAGGGCTTCATCAAGTGCTTCTTGCCGTTGTAGAAGTACTCATTCGGAAGCTCTGGCACAGTGGCAGCCCCTTGCGGGGCGCTTTCATCAATGAACATGAGCCTTCGCATGGCGTCCTCGTCTCGGTCAGACTTCTTAGTCTTCTTTGGAGGCGCTGGCTCAACAACACGTCCAATCGATGAGGGGATGGGGTCGACTTGGTCGCCCTCATCCACCAGTTCCACCGTGCCCGGGGTGTTGTAGGACACCTTACCGTCTGCGTCCTGGGTGACAATGTCATTGACGCACTCCGCAACAGCACTGACATCAGTGGTTGCACCGATCCTTGGCACATCCTTGCGGATGGCTTTATCCATGGGTGGCCCCTCGGAGATCTTAGTGACGTCGGTTGCGTCAGCGGCATCTGGGGCTTCCCACATCTTGTCCTCCTGGGTGACCGGCATTGGCTTTGCCTGTTTCGGGTTCATCAGCTGGTCCTTCTCCGCACGCCACTGCTTGAAGACATCCTCGAGCACTGGATTGTTGGCGCCGGAGCCAGTCTCAAAGTGCTCATAGCGAACAAGCAAAGCCCTGACACAGGGTGCCATCTTCTGGGCAAGCCATTCGCTCCTGCTTGCATTGAAAGTCGCATGCAAGTAGGTCTGGAATAACTCGCGGTTGCGAGGGTCTTCACTGGCGTGAAAGCTGTCATACATTTCCAGCTTTTCGACCAAGGAGCTCGCGGTTTGCACTTGCAGACCGCGCTGCCTGAACTCTTCGAACATAGCGGCATTGAAGTCGTTGTAGGCTGAGTGGAGCTGGAACAAGTCCGCCTCCACCTGCCCAATCACCTTCACAAAACCAATGTCCGGCTCGCCCGCGAGGGCGGCTAAAACATCCGCTGCCCTTCTCACTTTCCGTGCGACGGTCTCCGTTGTGACATTGGGATCTCTGTAGGCGAGTCCCGGTCCTAGCCGCGTGGGGATGCAGCCCCACTGGCCGGAGATCTCGTTCCCGCACCACCAGCAGATCACGTCGATGGTGTGCTCCGGATAGTTGCTCCGGAGCTCCTTCACATGCTCCTCGACCTGCCAGACAACCCACGCCAAGGTTTTACCCCAACACATGGTGTAGCGAGTCTGTGCCCATCCCAGCGTCCAGCTTGCGATGTTCACTTCCGCATCCAAGTCGGCCTTGACGAACACTCCCCGCCTGTTCTTTTTGCAGAGTGCAGTGGAGCTGTCTGACACGACTATGATGGCTCGCTTGGCCTTGGGGCTCAACCTTGCGGTTGGCTTCAACTTGGCGAGTCCCTCGTCACTGAGGTCAGCCATCTGGCGCAGAGCCACACAGGTTGCGTCGGCATGGGTCAAGGATACCCCAGCCGCGCATTGTGTGGATACGCAGCTGTACGCCGACTCCAAGAGCTGGCTCTCATGATCGGCGCCGAGCGAAATGATATCGTTGTTGAGGGCGGCGGATTGGAGAATGGTTTTCATGGCCTTGGTAACTCCATTCCTGTCTGCTTCGGAGGTGTTGACCCTGCAGAACTCGTCGCTCACAACGATGGCTGCCATCTTGGGGATCGTAGAAGTCGCTTCCGGCAAGTCGAGAAGATCAGAACCAGCTGAAATTGCAATGGCAGGCGTGCACATAAAGAAAGCCAAGATTTCATGGTCAAGGCTTGCAGTTTGTTGTGTGTTTGTGCACTCGAGCGATGTGTGTGCAAACGAATCATTTTCGAAACGAGAACACGGTTTGTTAAGCCTACCCCCCTCATCGAGAGGGGAACCAACACACCTCAAACAAACCATTGCCTTCTGAGCTGGGAGCTTCAACTGAGCCGTAGGCAAGAGGAACTGTGATTGATGTAGGAATTGCTTTTGCTTTTTGTTGAACTTCTGGTACCCCCCTGAAGAGTAGGCGATGAAGGAATGTCGTTCGCCAGTGTAGGGTTGTACACCATGTTTTGTCGATGGATGCAACAGAGTAGGCTTGCGGTATGTGTTGCAATTGTAGCCTTTGTGGTCTTTGCCATGATCATCTGTGTATATTCCCGGTGGTCCCAACTGGCTCGCGCCCTCAATCCACAGTGTCCCCCCTGTATAGTTACCGAAGGAGAACGTCAGGTTGTACGATTCTTTCTGATTGTACTTATCCGTGTGGATGCGGGCCTTGCCATTGAAGTTGAACACGAACGAAGTCCATGTAAACCCTTTCGGGGATGATTGCTTAACAAATCCATTCACGTACCTGCAAATCCATGGGTAATGTTTTGCGCGGTTGGTAATACCAAAGCACCCACCATGGACCCAAGCGCCGAACACCAAGTATTTGGATAGGTTCTCAGAAGCCATAAACGATCGCGGTTTTGCCAATGATGCCTTGAGATTGGTACGAATAAGCCCAGCTAGCTTCTCGAAGGTCTTGAAGCTGTAATCGTTAGCCTCGAACGATTGTTGAGCGAAGTCCTCGACAACCTTTGATGCATCCGGAGCTGCTGCTACCGAAACCTTGTTGTCAACCTCGACCTTCGACTCGGGTTTGCACCCGGCTACGTTCGCGCTGGTTGTATGTCCAATAAGCTTCAAGGCATGCGTCCACTTGTTCTTTTCAGTGAAAGGCTTCGTGAACACATCCGCCACTTGTTCGGCTGTGCCAACATTCAGTAGCTTGAAATGCCCAACCTCATATTGCTGCTTTAGCCATGAGAAACTCACCCTCTGTGTCCGATCAGTATGTCGTAGAACACCAGCTTGCCCTAGCAACAAAAGAGTGATTGTCGCCTGGTTATCCTCCATATGTCTAACCTCGAAACTTTCAGGAAGTTGGACACAGAGGCCGTTGATGTCTGCGATTGACAACCCATCCGGTCTAGTGGACCCATAACGAATTTCGTCAAGTTCAGGGTCAATGCGTGCAACTATCGAATCCACCCTCTCAGCCCTTGGCTCGGCCTTGCGGCCGGCATCTCCACGCCACAGGAAATACCACAAGCTCAGGCAAGGTAGACCTTCGGCACGTAAACCGTGATTCGCTGCTACAACTTCGGACTCAGTAGAGCTCATTGTAATAGATGTTTGTTTCTTGCTGAAGGCATTGAGGGGAAAGTACGTGTTTGGTCCGACCAAAAACATCGCACATCCTGTAGTCGATTTTGAATCGAATTCGCCCGCAAAGTCGGAATCACTGAACAACCACAGTCTGCAATCCATTATGCTGTCGCCTATGAAACCGCTCATAGTGACATCAAGCGAAGAGTTTATGTAGCAAACCAACCTGTGAAGTCCCAAGTCGCAATCTGGACTCCACTTGGTCACCCTCGACGCCAAAGACTGTGTTGCCCTTAGAAGATCCCATCTGGCCATGCGAGCAGCGAACAAAATCTTCATTAGTACCTTACTAGCAATAGGTTGCAAGCGCCCTGCCTTCTCTCCTTCGGAAGCTGTTGGCAAAGCCACACGTAGCTCATGGAAGGGGGTTGCAGCTGGTTTCAGGGTCTTACGCTCTACCTTAGCAAGCTCGCAGTACCGATCAACGCAAGAGTCGAGAAAGTCCTTCATATCGTACGTGATGCGAGTGACTGGCTTGGTCATTGCACCGGGCTTCTCTTTGACGTCTTGCGACAAGGTAACAAACTTGCTCTGCTTCGCCTCCTTTTTAGCCTCAGACTTGTTACGAACCGGCTTGCCCTTGCGGGCAGCTGCAACTGCCAGCTCGAAATCAGACTGTTCCCGGCCTGCGAGGTCGAAGTAGGTTTCGCCGTCCCACCAATCCTGAAGACAGCGATCGCGCATTTGATTGCAACTGTCAACAACAACTTCCTCCGACTCACCCTTGCGGGTGGCTTTAGCCACCACAGTGTATCTCCGAGGGCCAATCCCCGGGAACATTCTAGCATCATCCTCGTTGGGGACATAAAGTCTTTTGCGAGGATAACGGTGATGTCGGATTGCTATGAGATTCTCGGGGTCAATGTCCCAATAATCTTCTTTTCTAGCAGGAGTTGCAGCTGATGATTCGGGCTCAAACACGTGACGGAAAGGGTGTGCTTCCTTGGGCAGCTTGAGGTTGTGTTCTTCCTTGTGCATGCACCCAAAGTATCTACCAATGGCTTCCGGAAGATCCATATCAATGACGCTCGAGATCAAGTCCCATCCCTCCTTGATAGAGTTCTTAGGGCCAGCGAGTTTAAAGTCATCGACGTATACCACTAAAAGCAGCTTCTTCTTCGGGTGGTAGAATACACTCTTCCAAATGTCAGTCAATACTGCCTCGAACCCGACTTTCTTCAACTCAGCTTCGCAGTGATGTTCCCAAATCCCCCCTGAATCGGGGTGTCCGTAAAGTGCCAACTTGAGTGGAACAACAGGATCTTTCATGCCCTGCCATGCCTTAGGCCAGCGATTGCGAGGCAACCGTACCCAAGTGGCAACCCCTTGGAACAAGGCTTGGGTGTATGCTTGCTTGGCGTCGGCTTGCTGGATGATGTAGCCAGGTTGTGAGCCAAAGACGTCAAGAATCTTTCCTGCTTCCATAGATGCAGGACTGCTCGACATCTCCGCAAAGAGCGCGTGATCGGCGTTTTCATCAAGTACTTTATTTCCCTGAAATACCGAACGTCCCTTATACTTACGGTTAGGGTCGCCTTCTTTCAGCTCGGCTCCCTTTAGGGTACCAATCTCAAAAACATTGCCAAAGTGAACCTTGGTTTGAGATTTCTTAGCTTCATTGGCAACCGACTCGAACTCCCTGACTTTGCCTTGTACCCAGCAGCCCTTGTCAACCAATTTCTGCCATTCTTTGTCCATGGCAGCCTGCGCCTTAGGGTTTGTTGAAATCTCCTTAGACGACAGGACCTTGGCGACAACAGCATACATCTCATCTGCGATCTGAAAAAGCTTCTTGTCATATAGCCCTTTGAGTCGTTCCCGATGTTCCTCGCTACACCCATGTAGGACTGGCATTGCAGGTACCACCTTTACAGCTTCACGATACAGTGCCTCATTCTCCTCATGTAGCTTCTTCTCATGTTCTGCAATTGCTGTTGCTCTTTGTCTTTTCGACATAGCCTTCCATGCAGTATGATCAATAGCGTTAGGGCGGTTCTTGTTGTTCTTCTTGACCAAACATTCCCCACTCCACGTATAACCATACGGTGGTTCTTGCGCTGCTACTGCTGCGCTGGACTTCAGCTTCTGCTTCACAGAGAACGGAACATCATCAAGCAATGCTGCACGGGAATCAGACTTTGACTCACCCTTGCGGGTGGCTTCTTTCGCGTCCTTCGGCGGAGGATCTTTATCACGATCAGGACCAAATAGCTCTGGGAACATTTCATCCAGGTCTTCGCTAAGTTGTTCCTGGATTGTGGCTTCATCGTATCCCCCCCCTTCCTCCAGAGGAGGATGCGGGTTTTGCTCATCAAGGACATTATGATGTTGTGCATCAAGGCTTGGTGGTTTATCCAAGGCAGGCTCTTGCAACAAAGGAAACTTAAAGTCACCATCTGGTAGCTCCAGTCTCTTAGTGCGAAACACACGTAGATCTTCGTTTTCCAACGCGGCTTCGATGTTGTGTAGGGGAGCAACAACGTACTCAAGCTTGAAGATAAAACCAGGTTGGATGTGATACCCAAGGAATATACCTTCAATCCCTGTGCCAGAAAACTTGGATCGTTCAGGCTTGCGTTGCTTCTTCGGGGCCCAATAGAGGACTTTCGCTCCAAAGGGAATACGCATGCCGTTGAACTTTTCACCGTACCTGATTTCCCACGGAATCTGACCATTGTCAATCCTCGCAGTGATGTTAAGACACATAGCATGATGTTGCGATGCAAGAGGCCAATAGCGATCTGGAAGTCCTGATTGCACTAAATTGGCCCGTGTGCCTTCCAAAATGGTTCTGATTTCTCGCTCGATTACGGCCTTGTTTTCGTTCACATACTCTCTAGAAGTGTTGTGACGAGCGCGAAGCTGTCTGGCCGCAAAGTCAAACTCCAACGCATTGTCGGAATATATAACCTTTACCTCATCATCTGTACCAAGGAAGTGCAACATGTCTTCGTAGCACTGCTCACCAGACTTTGTCTTGGAAGGGTACACGTATCTAAACTTAGAATACACGTCCTTCACAACATGAGCCACGGTTTCATCTTGGAACCCGTAATCCTTGGCATCAGCGGTCACGATGTGATCTACTGTGATGTGGTCACCGAACGATTTACTGTAGATTGTAGAGGATCCACCAGATTTACGCGCCTGGGGCGCATACATCTTGGCCCTTTGGCAAATGGGGCAGAACGGATTCTTTGGTCTATGGGTAAGTCGATGTTCCAAAGACACAGCCTCAGCCCTCAAGGAAGCTTCATCCTTCTTAGACTTTGGCATTGTGTATGGCTCGACATCGCTGTCGGCTTGCGCCTCAACTTCCCCTTCAGGCAAAGCAAACAATGTGATAGTCGCAATAGTCCCTTCAGGTACTTCCCCATAGATTCCGTCCAATTCGTCAATGTTGACTGAATCCTCCAACAAAGACCACACGTCATCCTTGAATCCCCAAGTAGTCCGGATTCTATACCTTGGGAACTTAGGAGCCGGTGTTCGAAGCGTCTTTGGGAAATGTGCCACCTTAGCAGCGGGGCTGCCGTTGATGACAGTCCAACCTGCCTTTAGCAGTTGCCTCGTTTCCACCCCAGGAATGGGAGGAATGCAATTCGCCATCTTTTCGATGGGATCTTCTGCCGCGCCAGCTGGACCTTCAGGTTCATGTTCGTGCTCTCCCCTAGCTGGTGCGGCGTGCCCTTGCGAGCAGCTGTTTACCGAAAACCCGAACCAGACTTGACAGAGGTCGGTGCAACCTTGCTGCCATCAGATTCTGAGGACTTTGCCGCTAAGCATGCCATCAATGGTCCTCGGTCGCCAAATACGGGGACATTGCCTCGGAGTTGGCAAATCATCTTCTGACCGTCTGGGCAAATGAAATATGGCGCCTCACCCGCTGGCCAGTGGAAAGAGAACCCCTGTTCCATGCACTTCTTTCCTACAGAGCAAACTGCAGGTGTGTTGGGGAGCTCAACGAACTGCAATGGGTTCCTCAATGACTCAATGTAGACCTCATGCTTGGTATCAGCGTCTACTGGTCCGTTAGCAGTGATCAAACTCACTGGGTTGGAAGCAACCTTCTTAGCCTTGCCCTTGAAATGGGCCTCCAAATCAGAGTGACTAATCAGATCTTCCTCGCTACCGGTGTCTGCGATGATTTCGAGGTTTTCACCTGTCACCGCCGCTGCAGCAAGTTGGGGCAGGGGAATTGCTTCTTTGCAGTGAATGCAGAATCCTTCTCTACCCCGACACCTGTAGTTACACTTGACCCGAACCTTAAGCTTCATCCCGTTCACTGCTGATTCCAAGTGACGGGCATTCTGCAAAGCTTCTTCGGTGTCCTCTGGAATTGATGGTGGGCATAGCTCCGCAGACTTGTACCTAAATTCGAACTTGTGCTTGTCTGGTACGAAGCTCCAGCCTTCACCTTCAGGCGGGATGTCAATGATTTCTGGCCTTAGGAACTGGACCTTTCTGCTTCGGGGCTTTCCGGCAGGGCCCTTGCGGGCTGCTACTGCGTAGGCTTTCACAGCATCGGCCGGTGGCTCACCCGTGAGGGTGGCTGTGAGGGAAAGACAGCAAGCGGCTGGCTTGTCCTCACTCTTTGGCCTTTTCTTACTGGGTCGCCTGCGCTTGCCGGAGGGCGATCTCTTCCCGTCCTTGCCAGCCTTATCGCCTTTGGCCGGGACAGAGGGAGCGGCATCCTTGTGCATGAATGGGCAATTCTTACCGTTCTTGCAGGTGCCTTTGGGGAAAAAGATGCAAGGAATCTTGGAGGTATCCTTCTTCTCCCCACCTTTACCGCCTTTACCTCCACCTTTTCTCGAAGGGGTACGTGGAGGTGTTCTGCCCCTTGTCTGTTCAGGAGTAGGCTTCACGTGCTTGTATGGGCACTTATCACCTCGTGGGCACTTCCCACGCTGGAAAGCGTAGCAGGGCTTGTCCTGGCTTCGGCCGCGAGGGGTGTTCGGGGTATCGGAAGGAGCAGGGGCACCAAATCTGGCACCGTGAGCTTTGGCGATTGCTGTGCGGTTTTTGCGAGTCCTATCTCTAGCCAACAGCTCTTTCACGCATTTGACCAAGTAGTCATAAGTGCGTTGCTCTGTTCCTTCCTTAGCCCTGTCGTAAACTTCCAGATCAAACTTGAGCTTGCTAGCATTGCGAAGCTGCCGAAGTAGAATATCTCTCAGTGTAGTCTCCTCGGGTTGGTGATTCAACCCCGCGATGACCGACTCCCAATTGTGAATGAAAGTGCTAAGGTCATCACCATTCAACTGCACCTTGAGTAGATCTTCTACAGAGTAGAGGGAGCCTGCTTCCTCGTTGGTCTTAAAGTAGTGTTCGAACATCAGTAGAACTTGTCTACCACGAACGGCCCTACCAGCAGCTGCCTCAGACTCCTTGTAGTTAATGATCTGTCGTCCAAGATCACCCCTAGCAACCCTCGAAAGCGCCGAAAGGATCTTCGTATCCAAAGTGAGGAATTTACCCGTGTCCCTCAACTTCTCCGGATCGGCGTCCCTGGAGTAAACCTCTTGAACCCATTTGAATGCCTCATCGGGTCTGTCCGATGCTGCCCGAACGGCCTCCCTAACTGTGATCTTCCAGCTCCTGTAAGTCTCCGGGTTAGGGAAGTCGGGTAGCTTCACCGTTTCAGCTTCCTTAGCCTTGGGTTTGTCATCGTCAGGCTTCTGGATAACCGACTTGAGTGCTTCAGCGAGAAGTACGCTAGGTTCTTTGTTTTCAGTAGATTCTGCCGGTTCTTTGTTATCACTCTGTTCAGCAGCAGATACCGCTACATTGTGGGCCTTGGAATCCTCAGGCTCGCCAATGTCATACCGTTGGGTCCTTCCCAAAACCGTCCGAAGCGACACAGGGATCTCCCTGGGGTTCGGAAGGGTCGGAATCCATGAATGGCTAGGACCCTGAACAAGCGGCGCTGCGGCACCACCTTGCGGTGGGCTTGGTTGAAGCTTGGAGCTCTCACTGGGATCGACTTTCACCGGCACGGCACCACCTTGCGGTGGGCTACTCTCCGCTGTCGACAAGACAGTCCTGAGTGAGTCGACCTCAGCTATAAGCTCCGCGTTCCTGTCCTGCAGGTCATCAACCAAGCTATCGTACTGCTGTGCCTCAGAGGTTAGCCTATGGTAGTACTCGTTTTCTTCCCATTGAAGCTTTTCCTCAAACTCAGACCCTAAAAAGGCAATCATCTCACTGTGGTTTTCTTCGATACTCGAGCGCAATTCCGCGAAACGGCGTTCATGCTGTCTGTTTTCCGCAGTGAGCGTGCGCGCTGCTGCTTCCAGCTCGGACCGATGTGCATCAAACTGCATGGCCATAGACCTTTCATCATGACTTTCCCTTTGTGCGCGTGCCAGCTGTGCCTGCAGCTCATTGGCTGATTGTCGTTCTGCTCGGGCGATTGTCTCTAGCACTCGTACTTCATTGTGTAGCTGTCCCACCAACAGGTGTGTGGATTGACCCACAAATGCTAGCTGTTGACGATGATTCGCATCCGCTGTTGCCTCTAGGTGTGCAATGTATGCGTTGGCTTCGGCGTACACGTTGTCCAATGCAAATCGATGTCGTTGTTCCGCGCGAAGCTCCAAGGCACTTTGAATGCGGGGGTCATTCAGGAACAAGTTCACCTGAGTATTCTCCTGCAACAAATGCAAGAAGTACTGGTTCGCTTCCTGCTCCTGTCTACCACCAATACCACCGTCACCGTTGTTGCCCGCGGCCGTTGAGAACGGCACGATGTCCATTACGGAGCTAACTACGGCTGATAACCTGAAGTTTCCCAGGCTACCAGCTTGACACGTCTAGTTACCGGTCAGTCAACCCTTGTGACCTTTTTCCACGGGGGACTTGGGCCAAGTGCAATCGCGTAAAGACATAGCTAAGGACCATAAGAATAGCAATGGAGGCAGGGTAAAATCTACAAAATTGCTCCAAATCGATACCTAGTATATGAATACATGGACCCTTGATGTGGGCGGGACCCCCGTGCCTGCCAGCAAAGAAGTTGTTCCTGGAGGTCGCTTCCAAAGCCAGACGCTGGCGGACGACGTACACCTGGGTTTAGGGGTTAGCACTTTGGATTTCGGGTTGAGGGTGTTTTCTAAAGTTGAACTGACTTTCGTCCGCCGGCACTCAGGGTTTAGCGCTTAAGGTTTTGGCCAGGGTTTAAGCTTCGGGAGTTTAGGGGCTAGGGCCGGGATCTGGATTCACTCGTTTTCGGTTTCGAGTTTGGGGAAACTTTAAACTACATGTATATTGGGGTTGTAGCTAGATGATGATGATGATGATGACTATTATGATAATGATGATGTGTTGATGTTGATGTTAATGCTGAGGCAAAAAAGCCCCCAAGACAGCGAAAATTCAACCCCAAACCCATGAACCCTAAACCATTAAAGCCCCAAAAATCCTAAAGCCCTAAGTTTCCAATAACTCCGACAAGCACGAGACTCCAACCCGCAAGAAGAGCGCCGGCTGGGACCGAAACCCCACTTAAAGGATCATGGGACTTGGATAGTTAGGGTAACTCTACTTACAACTACTTATAACTCCAATTGAGGTACTGAGGTACTTTTATAACCTTGCTTACTAAGTTCCATGATCCTCCAAGTATCCCTGAGATCTAAAACCCCAAAGGCCCTGACTCTTATAGAAAACCCACGAGCACATGGGTGGTTATCAAAATATGGTACCTTTATATGTCACCTGTTATTTCGGGTACCCAAAAATGGACCATAATTTTGACAACTACCCACATGAATCGCAAAACCCGTAGCAGCTCTGATGCCCTTAAACCCACAAGCCAAAACACGCCTGAACCATCCTGAACCCTAAACCCAAAACAATACATGAACCCTTAAGTACCTCACCCTAAACCCCAAAGCTAGGGCCTTACCTAAACCCCACCTGAACCGCAGATATCCTACCTGTTTTAGGGAAACCCTAGCCGTTGAACTTCTGAGTTCCCCGGCCGTCAACTCCATAAGTTCCGGGTGGTCGTGGGGAACCTCAGATCGTTCAGGGGCTTAGCTCCAGTTTAAGGTTGGGGGTCTGGGGTTGAAGGTTTCGGCCCTTAGGGCTTTAGGGCCTTAGGGCTTAGGGTTTAGGGTTTAGGGTTTAGGGTTTAGGGTTTAGGGTTTAGGGTTTAGGGTTTAGGGTTTAGGGTTTAGGGCTTTAGGGCCTTAGGGCTTTAAGGCTTTAGGGCTTGGGGGTTATGGGATGTAAGGGTTTAGGGTCTGCGAGCTCAAGGAATTGGAAGGTTGTCAGTGCTTTTAAGGGCTCGGGGGTTTAAGGGTTTAAGGGGTTTAAGGGTTTCAGGTGCACGGTGTACGGGTTCTTTGGAATTTTGAGGGCTATAGGGCTTGGGAGTTGAGGGCGTTGCGCTTGGGCGGTTTGTTTTAGGGGCTTCAGGGCTGAGAGTGCAGAACCCTAACTGCTGCCATCCTGAAGGTAAGGACCACTACGGTTAAACCAACATCCAGAAGGGCTCCCTCGAACCATATAGACCCAATACATCCCAAATCCTCCACCCGAACTCTACAAGGAGATCTGAAGCAGAACAAAAAGCCTAAAAGCTTCAGGCCGACCAGGAGCCTTGGAATTAACTGCACCCTAAGTCTACACCCTACACCCTAAACTTGCCCTAAACCCTAAAAAACCGTAAACCCCCATAAACCTTTCCCGCCAGGAAAGGACTGAGCAGAGGGCCGCCCCAAAGTAGACATTTTGCCAAAGGACCTCGGCTTATTGGCTTAGGATTTACGATTTGAAGCTTTGGGTTGTTTTAAAAGGCTTTGGGTTTACACTTTAGGGCTTAGGGCTCAGGCCTTGGGGTTTAGGGCTTAGGATTTAGGGTGTAGAGTTTAGGCTTAGGGTGTAGTTCATTTCAAGGTTTCCTTTCCGGGATGCTTCCAGCTTCAGGAGTTTCTGTGGCTCCCAGGATCCTCTGAACTTTCAGGATTTAGGGTTTAGGGTTATGGTTTAAGGCTACATTTATAACCACTTTTCCCAGTGACTGCAGTGGCGGCTGCAAGAATTATAAGTTTAGGTTGAGGGCTGCGGGGCTTCTCTGCTTTAGAGTTGCAGTTGTCGGGTTTAGGGTTTGGGCTTTTGCATGTTCATGTTCGGAGTGGAGGCTCCGGGTTGCAAGGAGCAGAGTCGAGAGATGAGGTTTGCGGGCTTGGGGGGTATGTAAGAAGTAGGTGGACCACCCTGAGCTAGAATAGCCTCCTGCGGAGAGGCTTCCGGCTCCGTCGTTCACACAACCATCAACCCCTGAAGCCGTGACCCCAAAGCCCCAAACCTATGAACCCTGAAACCCCAATAGACCAACAAACACCCAAAACCCCAAACCCTTAAACCCAAAACCCCTGAGTACAATCCTAAACTTCCAAACCCTAAACCCCTAAACCCCTGAACCCAAAACCCCTGAACCCTATACCCCAAACCACTATAAACCCCTGAACCCGGAACCCCAAAAGAATCCCAAAGCTCTAAAACACCCGCAACCCTCTGGCGCCTGCTTGACGCATGGCAGCAGGCCAACGTTGCCTTCTGGAAGCTCCTCTTCCTTCTAAGTAGGAGTTAGGGTTTTTTTTGTTTGAACTCCTTTTTCCGTCTAAGGTGGCCGTCGACGAAAGACCCAGGGGGTCAGGAGAGTTGGTCCCATTGGAACGCAACAAACTGGCAAAAGGAGTTAGGGTTTGGGGTTTAGGGTTTACCTGGTGGGAGTTAGGGTCGGGGGGACCCTTGGGGATACAGTAAGGTCCATGTTAAGAGAGCCAGAATAATAGGATTAAGAAGGTTTCCCTTTAAGGGGTCTCCCTAATACTACCTAGGACAAAGGAAAGAAGGCAAGAAAGGCATCGGGACTTCGGGTTCAGAGTTTAGCTTCCGGGGCTTCGGGTTTGAGGTTTAAGAGTTTTGGGCATCCGGGCTCAAGAGTCTTCTTTCGGTTGGGGAGACCCCTAAACCCTAAACCCTAAACCGAGAGGGGACCCTGACTTAGGGTTTTTGAAGTTGGAGACTTCTGGGACTACCAAGGGCTTAGGGCTTTGGGTGGATAGGATCTTCCACAGGCCCTAAGACCCTAAACTCTAAACCTCTAAACCCTGAACCCTAAAACCCCAAAACCCACAAACCCTAGAACCCTTGAGCCTAGCTTGAACCCCAAACGCATCGGGGCATCGGGTCTTAGGCTACTGCGCTTGCAGGCTTCGGCTGCAGCACTTAAGGTTTAAGGCTTTGGGGGGCTTGCGGTTTTGGGGCGTAATATAGGGCCTCCGAAAAAACCAAGGTTTTTGGTGCATGTTCTGGCATGGTTCCAAGGGTAAAAGGAGGGATTATATGGCCCATTATAGGGTAGGGGTCCCCATTAAGGGTCCCTCCTTATTCCCTTTGAATGGTTGATGAAAGAACCCGTAAGGGATCCTACGACAAAAACCCTAGACCCAAGAGCCCTTCATTTGGGTCCGAAACCCTTCCACCCCTGTCCTGCAAGGACACGGCCTTGGCTGAGCCCTCTGGAGCCTCCTGCACGAAGGCCTCTTTCGGCGTTTGGCTATTAGGCTTTCAGAATGGCTTTATAAAGGTGCCATGAAAGCTTTATGGGGTTTCTTGAGGCTTTTCAATTATACGAGTTTCAGAGTGGGTGTACGATGGGTGGCTACATGTCTTTACGGGGTGTCTGCAGGGGCTCATAAAGCTGATAAGCGGGCCGTGCATGCGCACCACTAAAAGAATCGTTAGGTTGATCGGGGTTTCCGTACAACCAAACTGTCCCGAAAACATCATAATATGGGGTCCTGCAGAATCACCAACATTATTCTACAGGGTTCATTGGTATAGGCGTTCTATTATACTCTACCCCGAATTCATGTGATCAAAAAAACGCCGTGTTTGATCTAGCATTCGAGTTTAGGGTTTAGGGTACCGGGCGTGACGGTTGAGGATGTAGGGTTTGGGAGGTTTAGGGGTAGGTTTAGGGGTTTGGAGCTTGGGTTTAAAGGCTTCGGCTTTTGGAGTTCGCACAACCCACGACAGCTTTTAGGATCCGGAAACTGCGTTTTTGCTGCAAGGGAGGGCGCGTTGAGGATTTGAACGATTGAGCTTTAGGGGTGAGGGCTGAATTAGGTTGCTCTCTGACATGTCTCTGTTGCTTCAAATGCCCTGGGAATCTCATATCAAATCGCCTTTGGTCTGGCAACAGAGAACACAAAGTAACAGACTTCCTGCTCTCTTGCGCATGGATCAGCATGGCGTAGCCCTGATTAACAAACCCTCTTTCTCCTAAGGTGACACCACGGCTCATCACCCTATCCTTCGCGCTTCGGTCTTTCGAACATAGCCAACTCTGCCGCACCATCCACTTCGCGTGAGAAGCGCTGACGCAAACGCTGGCGGTCCAGCAGCGGTCCACTGCCTGCGTTCTGGTGCGCCTCTTTGGAAGCAAACCCAGAGAGCCCAATACCCCTTAATTGAGGAATATAGCTTAAATCATAATTCGAAGCCCTTTTTAATTTATGGAATATTCCCTAATTAAGGGGATTAAGGGCTCTCTGGGAACTCATTCGCCTGCAGCCACCAAAGCAGCTGCCCCAGCGGCCGTCCTTGGCCTTCCTACAGGACGGACTTGGCCTCCGAAGTTCAACGAGTCATCACCCCGTTTGAAGTGTCTACAACCCCTAAACCCCTAACCCCTAAACTCCTGAAGGGTTACCCTAAACCCTAAACCACTAGCTATAGTTAATCACAGCACGTTGGTAGACTCAATGAGGCAATGGCCAACTGCACCACAAGAATGCAAGCATTATACATTCCGGGGGCAGGCGGAACTCCAGAAGCCTTCATCGTGAGATTCCTTAAGCAGCAGATCCAAATCCTAAGACCCTACAGGCTAAACCCCGAACCCCATGATTTGTGCTAATTGTGCCAAAACAAAAGGTTCTCGCCCATCGTGGACCTCATCGAGGGCCGCGCAAAAGCCAAAAACGAACCTCAGCTGGTTGAGGACGACCCCAACCCTAAACCACAATCCTCTAAACCCTAAACCCTAAACCAACAGCTCCTTGACATAGTAGCAACTAAGATATTCTTAAACCGAGTGAAGGAACTAAAAGCTACCCAAAAGGCTGCCTTGACTAGAAATATATTTATTTATATGTATATATATATATATATGTATATATATATATATATGTTCATAAAGTTGTGGTCAAAATTACGTTTAGGCTTTGGGGCGTTGTTTCGGGTTCTGAGGTTTTGGGGTTGAGGGCTTCGGGGCTTTGCATTTCCGGGGTCTTTCGAAACCGCTCTATAAGCCCAGATTGTGCAGTTCAGAAACCACGGCCGAGCTCGAAGTCTTGTATGTAAAGTCCGGGTTTGGGATTTCGGGCTTTAACGGCCGTCAGTGTTCGTCCGGAACGGCGGTCGGGGGCCCTATACCCTCAAACCTGCACCCCAAAGCCTTAAAAGCCTGGGGCCTGGTTGTGAGAAATCCCTACTTGGAGGATCATGGGACTTAGTAAGTAAGGTTATAAGTACCTTAATTGGGGTTATAAGTAGTTATAAGTAGAGTTACCCCAATTATAACCCCAGTCACGAAGTCCCATGATCCTTTAAGTACAGCCACCCTTGTTCAAATACCCTGCTGAAACCCTAAACCCTACACCCTGCAAACCCTAAACCCTAAACCCTACCCCCAGTGTTTCAATACCACCCTTCTTACGTCTAAAGCCAGGGGGCTCCATGAAGTGTTCGAGCTCAGAGGAAATGCTCATGGCCTGCCACGCAACGTAGTGAAAATGGGTTTAGGGTTTGTGTGCTTGAGGGCTCTTTTCCGATCGTTTAGGGTCTAGCGTTTAGGGGCCATGTAGGGTTGATTGGCTTAGGCTTTATAGTTTGTTGCTTATGTTCTAGCAACAATATACAGGGGCTATCAGTGTTGTCACGGCGCTTTGAGCAGCACCAGCGATGCGGGCAGCAAGGTCAAACAAACTAAAGTCCAAATGACAGCGATGCTTCACCCTAAACCCTAAACCCTAAGCCCTAAACTCAAATGCAATATCCTAAGACTCAAAATTCATCCCAGGGCTGTTCCGAAGCAGGGTTCCGAGCGAAGCCTTTTGTAGCATCCCTGGCCAGCGAAACCGCTCTGAAGAAGGCCATCTCGAAACTCAAGGCCCCACACCCTCAATTCAATACCATGGCCAGCTCGCCGGCACATCCTCCTGCCTGCCAGGGCTGCACAACGGGAGCAACGGCGATGATGATGATGATGATGCGCACAGTGATGATGGTGATTATGATGATGTTAAAGATGATGAGGATCAAGATGAGGATGAGGATGAGGATAACGATGGTATAGACTAACATACCACAATATACAAGATGACAGTGGCGATACTAAACCCTGGCGTTTCGAGATGTGGGGGGTATACAGCTTTCGGGCTTCCTTCGAAAGTCTTCCTTGTTTCATACACCCTACTTAAAGGATCATGGGACTTAGTAACTAGGGTTATATAATTGAGGTAACTCTACTTAGAACTACTTCTAACCCCAATTAAGGTACTCAAAACCTTACTTACCTAGACCCAAGAGTAGCTTAGGAATAACAAGGGTGCCCTTTTTGGTTTAAAGGGGCTTTTAAGTGAACCTGAACCCTTAAAAAGGGAAAAAGGGCCTACTCCAGGTCCTAGTTACTAAGTCCCATGATCCTCCAAGTAGACCCTAAACCCTAAACCCCATAGACTTTAAGAAACCCCTATAGATCCCTCTAAGGAGCCCTTTTAAGGAACCCTTAGACTAAGTCCCATGATCCTCCAAGTAAGGTAGACTCAAGGAGGCCAGGGTTGCGGATTCAGGAATCATGCAGGCTTTTAGTCCCGAAGTCTGTTTAGGGTTTCGGGTTTAGGGTTTAGGGTTTAGGGTCTGTTTACTAGGATGCCTAGGAATAAAAAGGGGTTCCTTTTTGGTATTGGGCAACCTTACAGGGAACTTAGGACTACAAAGAGGGAATAAGGGTACTACTGGGCATCCTAGTTTTTTTTGTTAAGAGTTGAGGGTTTGGGGTTGGGTTTGGGGGCTTAGGGTTCAGGGTTTAGGGTTGAGCGTGGGTTTTGGGATTCCTGCTGATGGAGATAACCCTGCATTACCAAAAGTAACACTTGAGGGTTTGGGTTTGTTTAGGGCTTAGGATAAGCGGTTCAGGGTTTGGGGCGAAGGAATTGAGCGGCCTCAACATTGGGAATTGCTGAGAGGTTGCTTATCATGTACAATGAAAGGCTTTGTGCATCCACAAGAATGGTTCAAGGCAAAAAACGAAGCAACAGCGATTCAACAACGAAGCTATTCGACATCCTAAACCCCAAACCCTAAATCCTAAACCCTAAACCCCTAAACCCCTAAACCCCTAAACCCCTAAACCCTAAACCCCTAAACCCCTAAACCCCTAAACCCCGAAACCCCTGAACCCCAAACCCTATCCAGATGTGAATTGGATCCGAAGATCGGTCTTCGGTCAGCTTAAAGGTTGAGGTTTTAGGGCTTGGGGCTCAGAGTTGAGAGTTTAACTAACCAATGGTTTTGGGGGTTCCCTTGGCTCTTTAGCTCCTTATTTAATAGGGATTATCATCATCCCTGGCTCCTTAGCTCCCATAATATCAATGGTTAGTTAAGGTTTCGGGTTTGGGGCTTAGGGCTTCGGGTTGAGAGTGCAGAGTTTGGGGCTTAGGGCTTAGGCTTGAGAGTTCAGGATTTAGGGTTCGGGGCTTAGGGTTTAGTGTTTAGGCTTTAGGATCTAGGGCGGGTTTACGGGAGCACATCGCGTACATGGGCCGGAGCTTTCAAGTATGCGAAGGAAACCTTCTGCTCATTCTTGAAACTCGTTCAGAAAAAGCTCGCAGCAGGAATCAGAACTGGGCATGAAGCTTGCAAGAGTGCCTTAGCACCGGACCTGCAGTAAAGCCCTAAAAGCCCTAGACCCGAAAAATCCAACGGCATTTTTCCTGGGGCCAGGGCTTCAGCCAAAGCCGGATGATGAGCCAGCACCACTCGAAGACTCGTCGCCTTTGTTGTTGGGTCGAAACTGCACAGTCTAGGGTTTAGGGTTTAGGAGTGAAATATCCTGGGCACTACTCGGTGTAGTGCTGCTGTTGAAAGCCAGTGCCGCAACCCTGCACATTCTTAAACCCTACTTAAAGGATCATGGGACTTAGTAACTAGGGTAACTCTACTTATAACTACTTATAACCCCAATTAAGGTACTAATAACGTTACTTACTAAGTCCCATGATCCTCCAAGTAGATCCCTGAAACCTATGGCATGCAGGAGAGCCGCGTGATCAGCGCGCAGACGGCGCTCCCGAAGATTCCTTCGTGCTCCTTTCCGAGGGCTCTCGGTTTAGGGTTTATAGGGACCCCAAAAAGCACATAAGCATAAGCATTTTATAGGGATATCCCGACCTTATTGGGCTTCATTATAAGGGGATTTATATGGGATATCCCTATCCTCATTTTTGCTTATGTGCTTTTGGGGGCCTTAGTTTAGGGTTTAGGATTTAGGGTTCTCTTGCTGGGTTGAGGACCGGCGGCTGGAAAGAGACCCGAAGACGAAGCACGGGCCGGCGGGGTCTCTACTTAAAGGATCATGGGACTTAGTAAGGGTGCTTAAAGGGCTCTTTAAAGGGATCTGTAGGGTTCCTTAAAGGGATCTATGGGGTTTAGGGTTAAGGGTCTACTTAAAGGATCATGGGACTTGGTAACTAGGGTTATAATTAGGGTAACTCTACTTATAACCCCAATAAAGGTACTTATAACCTTACTTACCAAGTCCCATGACCCTCCAAGTATGCTATGAAAATTAAGATTTAGGGTTTATAGGTTTTGGTTTAGAAGTTTAGGGTGCCAAAAGATTCCATAACAGAGAAGCTCCTGCCTGGGTGGATCCACAGGCCTCTGTAAGGGAAGCGCAGATCGTATGTGGGTGCTGGCTGCTATGCTGGGCGTCATGCCAAACTAGCACTTCGGGCGATGTGTCTCCTCAGTAACATGGAGTCGGCACGGTTTGGGGTTTAGGGTTTAGGGTTTCGTGATAAAGAGTCTCTCCGGTGCAACCCCTGCGATGCCGGCGGGCTTTTGACTCCTCTGCAGGTGGCGTTCGGTACAGGTGACCTATGCCTTTATGGCCCCCGTCCGAGCAGTCATCTTGCAATCCAGTCTTCTGGGTGCTTCCTTGTGGGAACGAAGGCCCTAAACCTCAAACCGTACGACACCTATAGGACCATTCAAGCCACATGGTGCAAAGCAGAAGAAACCTTACAAAGCTCGTAAAGACGCACCTCAGAAGCCCCCTCTAAACCCTAAACCCTAAACCCTAACCCCTAAACCCTAAACCCTAAACCCTAAACCCTGGCTCTATGACTGTCTGACTCCTCTTCTCCCTAGTCTACGCCTCGGAGCTCCCGGAAGACGTCCCCAGGCCACGGGGATCATCTCTTAGTTGCTCTAGCCTCGGCTGTTGAAGCCTACACCGGCTGTTTCGGAGTGGAAGGCTCGAATCTTTGAGGCTTTTGGGGTTCGGGATTAAAGGCTTGCGAGGGCACCGGGTTCGATGCTTGGCCCAAGGTTATATAGCTGTAACCAGCATAGATTTGACGGCAGCAGCACGCAGACGAAGTCGTAGTCGTCGTCGTCGTCATCGTCGTCGTGGTAGCAATAGCAGTAGCAGTAGCAGTAGGACTAGGAGCAGGAGTTGGAGTAGGAGTAGTGGTGGTAGTAGTTATTATTATCATTTATTATTATCATTACAGTAGTAGTAGCAGCAGTAAAAGTAAAACCACAAATCACGCAATTGAACAACAGCACAAAGCTAAAGGTACGGCTCGAGCGACAAGAAATGCACCGAGTTTCAACCCTTAGCTCGAACTGTCAGTCCATACTGCTGATGGACAAAATCCTGCACTACCCATTATAAGGAATATACCATAGTTCCCATAGTCTAGAGTCCTTAGGGTCATGCAGGATTTTGTCCATCAACAGTACTTACAGTCCACCCACACCCCAGGTCCTTAAATCTGACGAGCTGCCGGTGGAGCTGGACATCTGAAAGGTCAACTCACCACCTGCCTTTGCCAGGCTGGAGTACCTCGGATTCCGAGGGCTTCGTGCCCAAAGACTTTAATATCCCTTAATTAAGGAATATTGCTTAAATTAGATTAGGGATCCTACTATAATTTAAGGTATGTTCCTTCTAACCTCTGCAAGACCCTCACCCCAACACTCACTACGGTTGATGATGAAAACCCTGCATTACCCACAATAAGGAATGTACCACAATTCCCATTGTTTAGGGTCCCAAAGGCAATGCAGGATTTGTGTAATCAACCGTAGCTCGCTCCTGTGCTTTTTTCCACCACCGCCCCCATCCCCGAGATTGCAAAAGCAGAAAAATCTGCAGGAGACCTGGTGAGACCGAGGGACCAACCCATTAGGGTTTAGGGGTTAGGGGTTTAGGGTTTAGGGTTTAGGGTTTAGGGATCTTAGAACACCACCATATGTACTGGCGAGGTTCACAGGCGCAACCGCAATGCTTATCGGAGCAGGGCCAATATGTTTGCTAACGTCTACTGGCGACTTCAGAACACGACCACCTGCTTCCCTGCAGGATGCACGTGGCCCCCACGTACTCTGCTGGCGGGATTCGGAGCACGGCCAAAATGCTTGCTCCCATATATTACTGGCGGGATTCGAGGATTTCGAGGCCAAGACAGAGGCCCATACATTGGAACTCACTTTAGCTCTGGCTTTCCGCAGGGACCACACGGATCCTATGCAAATAGCAAGACATGGGCGTCAACAATGCACCGCATCTTAGCAGAGCTGCGTCCCGGAGAACCTCCCGTCGCGGGCACTGCACGGCCGGCCACGCCAACCAGCTCCATTAACTCCCCATGTGTACCACACTGCTTGCACGAAACGTAGGTTCACGCAGCTCAAGCCGAACCCTAGAGACCCCAGATCGCGTTTGTAGATGGAGCCGCAGTTGATTCCGAAACTGCGGCAGCCCCCTCTCTAATATAGGGGCCTTAATAATTAGAATAGGGTTTTGGGGCAATCGTCATAGTAAACATATAATGAGGAACCCCCCAAATAGTATTGGGAACTATTTAGGCCCCCACTCCAGATGAAATCCTGGCAGTTTAGGTCCTGCCCGAACTCACCGGCATCCAGTCGCCTGGCTGGAGAATAGCAACCATCCATGGAACAATGATGGGAGGCCAAAATGGGGGTTTAAGATTCTTGGGGTAGGGATTCCTTAATATGAACCCTATTATGGGAACCCTAATCCCTACTAAACCCCCATAGGCTAAAACCCCTTTTGGCCTCCTATGAAACAAGGACGGTGAAGCAGTGCAGCTGCGACTCCAAACCACCAAAACTTACGAAAAAACAAGCCAAACCCCTTCCACGACGCATACCCTAAACCCCAAACCCTAAACCCTAAACCCTATGTTAGGGTTTAGGGTTTAGGGTTTAGGGTGTACAGAACCCATGTAGAAACCTCATGCCATGGTGCTTCACAACGTCTCCCAGCGGTTGCCGGTTCAGCGTCGCGCCGGTCACGTAGACGGTCTCGGCCGTGTTTCCTGGCGCCTGCGGTCTGGCTTTTGGATTTAGGGTTTAGGGTTTTGGGTTTAGGGTTTAGGGTTATGGGTTTTGGGTTTAGGGTTTAGGGTTTAGGGTTTAGGAAAAGGATCATGGGACTTAGTAACTAGGGTTATTATTAGGGTAGCTCTACTTATAACTACTTATAATCCAATTAAGGTACTTATAACCTTACTTACTAAGTCCCATGATCCTCCAAGTAAACCCTAAACCCCGAACCGTAAGCCCCATGTGGGAGTTTCCGAAATAAGGTACCCCCTGTTTTCGGCAACTCCCATATTAGTCCTTAGAAAGGTAGGGGTACTTGGGCGTTAAGGATGGGCTCCTTTCTTGTGATTGTTCCTGATATAACTTTTTAAACAGGTAGGTTACTTGGGGATACCCTAAACCCTAGACCCTAAACCCCAAACCCTATCCCAGGAGGCTTGAGACCCTTGTGAAAACCACGATGCATGTGTGTAAAGCCCAAATAGAAACCCTAAAACCTTAAACTCTAAACCATAAAGGGAAACCCAAACCCCAAACCATGGAGGGTCCAGCTAAGCATTCCTTGTCCTCCCTTACACCCCTGTCAAAGCCTGAAATCCCGGGGTCAGGGTTTAGGGGGACATCGAGGTCCACGTTGGTACACTTCAACTCGCCTGTATTGCGAGCACTGGGCGCCCAGGAATGCTCAGTTTCGCACTGAGAACCTGCCGAGGATTCTCAGAGGTTTGGCGCTTGGTGGGTCTGTGCTGTCATAGATGAGACTCAAGATGTCCCTAAACCCTCAACCCTAAATTAAAGCCTTGAACCTTAAACCGTCAACCCTAAAAAAAAAAACACAAATCCCAAGCCCTAAATCCTATGCCCTAAGCCCTAAACCCCAACCCCTAAACCCTAAACCCCAAAAAAGCCCTAAACCCTGTGCCCTAAGGCCCAAGCCCTAAACCCCAACCCCTAAACCCTGAACCCTGAACCCTAACACCCTAAGCCAGTCTAGGATGCCCAGTAACCTAGGGATACAAAGGGCTCCTTGTTTGGTATTGGGTAACTTTATAAGAAACCTAGGACTACAAAAAGCGGAATAAGGGTACGACAATGCCCAAATCCCTCAGCCCTAAAAATCCCTAAGCCCTAACCCTAAACCCCCAACCCCTAAACCCCAAAGCCCCTGGACCCTAAGCCCCTGAACCCCTTTATAGAACCCCTAAAGATCCCTTTAAAGGAACCCTTATAGAACCCTAAAGATCTCGTTACAGGAAGTTGCCTCGGGGCTGCCCAGGACCAGATCATCGCTCCCAGGGACGAGGCCTTGGGCTTCCCAGGGGCAGTTGCTTGGAGTTTAGGGGGTTTAGGGTTTAGGGTTTAGGGGTTTAGGGTTTAGGGTTTAGGGTTTAGGGGTTTAGGGGTTTAAGGTTTGGGGTTTAGGGGTTTAGGGTTTGGGGTTTAGGGTTTGGGATTTAGAGTTTAGGGTTTGGGGTTTAGGAGTTTAGGGGTTTAGGGTTTAGGGTTTGGGGCTTAGGGGTTAAGGGTTTAAAGGTTTAGGGGTTTAGGGTTTGGGGTTTGGGGTTTGGGGTTTAGGGGTTTAGCGTTTAGGGGTTTAGGGTTTTGGGAATAGGATTTTTATGGCTTCGGGTTTCGGGTTTTTGGTTTGGGGTTTACGCATTAGGTTTCTAAGGGCTTAGGTGCTTTTTTGTGTGGGCTCTTTTCCTTCAGGGCTTGGGGTTTAGTGTTTGGGGCCCAAGGGGAGGAAAGGGGAATTCACAGTTGGACAAGGGTGCATATGCATGTGGCTTTATGAAAGGCTGCTAAGGTTTTGCTATGGCTCTTTAGGGTTGTATATGGGGACTTCAAATGGGTGGTTGTCAAAATTATGGTCCCTTTTTGGGTACCTTAAATATTAGGTGCCGTAGTATAATAAGGACCCATTGACAACCAACCATATTTGGAATAATTAGGTTTTTGGGGCGGTTGATCGCATAACTCTATAGCGGCATCTAGGGGATACTGTTGCTGATCCTGGGTTCTTGGGATGGCATTTCACGCGGTGGGTTTAGGACACAGCACAAGCTATGAAGAATTCAGACGTTCCCTACCAAAATTTCGCCGCACAGCATCCTGAACACTGAGCCTGAACCTCAAGAACCGCACGGTCCGAATCCTGAATGAATCCACCCGAGACCGTAAACCCTAAACCCTGAAATGAGTCTCACCTCTTGGGCAGCCAAGGGGCTATAGAGGCCCAGTGCTGAGAGCACCTGGTCTCTGGATGCCGTTTACTTGGAGGATCATGGGACTTGGTAAGTAAGGTTATAAGTACGTAAATTGGGTTATAAGTAGTTATAAGTAGAGTTACTCGAATTACTTCCCGAGTTGCTAAGTCCCATGATCCTTTAAGTAGAGTTTAGGGTCGTAATCAAGCCTTCTCGCAGAGGGAAGGAGGCGCTTCCGCCCAGGACTTAGGGCATGGGGTTTAGGGTTTAGGGTCTAGGGTTTGGGGTTTGGGGGTTTGGGGCGTAGGGCTTGCGGCTTGGAGTTTGTATCAGTTTCGATGGCATGCGGGACCAAAGTTATTAAATTTTGACGAGGATGTCCAGTAACCTTGCAATAAAAGGGGCTCCCATTGGGCAACGTTATAAGGAACCTAAGACCACAAACAAGAAAAAGGGCCCACTGGGAGGCCAAGTTGAATATGCTAAGCAAGGCCCAAGTTGCCATCCGATATTGATCACAAATTCGATGCAACAAGGAGACTAGATCCAGAAGGCCTCAACGCCGTGCAATTAAACGGCTTCAATGATTAGAGTAGGGTTTTGGAGCTCATTATACTCCAACTAACTGTTATAATAAGGAACCCTGAGAAGTAATGTTTGTAGTTCTTCCGGCACCTATCTGACCTTTGGCCTAAAACCAGACATGCCAAACACAGAGGCCCCATGAGCACAGGAGAAAAACCATGAAACCGGAGATGGCGATAAGCCACAAGCCCCTAAACCCGGAACGCTGAACCCTCAAAGCAAAGAGGTTGTTCTTACCTAGGTTCCCGAGTAGCCCCTTTATAATAACGGTACCCTTTTGTCCTAGAATCTGCTTTTAATAAGGGTGCCCTAAAATCAAAGGGCAACAGGGTACTACTCAGGAACCTAGGAGGATAAGCCCTAAACCGTAAACCCTAGACCCTGAAACTGGCAAGAGGGTTCTACTTGGGAATGTAGGAAGATAAGCCCTACACCCTAAACCCGAAAAAGGGCAAGGCAGGGACTCAGCAATAGTATAGGGGCCGAATAACTACCAATACTATTTTGGGGGCTCCTTGCTATAATTGTAGTATAATGGGCCCCCAAAACCGTCTTCTGATCATTAAGGCCCCTATATTATAGTACCCTTATAGATCCCTTACAGTAGCCCTAACAGACCCCCATTAAAGGAACCCTAGTCTAGTTAGTATGAAGGCCCCTCTACTTGAAGGGTCATGGGACTTAGTAACAGGGTTACAGTTAGGGTAGCTCTACTTATAACTACTTATAACCCCAGTTGTCCCATGATCCTCCAAGTATGAGTAACTAGGATACCCAGTAGCCTAAGAATAAAAAGGCCTCTCTTTTTGGTATTGGGTAACTTTATAAGGAACCTAGGACTACAAAAAGGGAATAAGGGTACTACTGGGCATCCTAGGTAACCTTGGGAGCCCGGCAAGGCCCCAAAGTCTGAGCCACAGGCATACCAGGACGACATTTCCCCGGTGTCCTTCGTTGGGATCTTCGTGGAGCTCAAGCTTAGGGGGTTTAGCGTTTCAGGGTTTGGGGTTAAGGGTTTCGGGGGGATGGCGGCAATTTTGGGTCCGGTAACTTCTCACTTGTCGCTGAAAGCCTACGCTTGATTGAAGGCGTGCTGTCCTGCTTACGTCTGGGGTTGCATACGGTGGAACAAATCCAGACGAACACCCCGACAGACTTCAGACCCATGTGCTCGAGAGCTCGATTCGACAATTCGTTTCGTCGATATGCCGCTGCATTTCTCATCTCGCAAGTTCGCCTGACCTGTTGTCGGACCTTCCAGACAACACACCTACTCTTGTGAATGGCTCCGACATTGCATTGGACAGATCGGGTTGTCTTGAAGCACGACGAACCCACCAGCCCACAAGCCATCCACCAGCCACTTGGAGGATCATGGGACTTACTAAGTAAGGTTATAAGTACCTTAACTGGGGTTACAAGTAGTTATAAGTAGAGCTACCCTCATTATAACCCTCGTTGCTAAGTCCCATGATGCTCTAAGCAGGTTTCATTGACACCCGTCCGACCCACAGGCCGGGAGAAAGCCGACCGAAAGGGGCGGGGACCGAAGCCTAGACCTCTCGTGCAGGAAAGGGAACACTACTTAAAGGATCACGGGACTTAGTAATTAGGGTTATAATTAGGGTAGCTCTACTTATAACTACTTATAACCACAGTTAAGGTACTTATAACCTCACTTTCTAAGTCCCATGATCCTCCAAGTACCTTCGGATGGAGGCAATTTTGGGTTTGGGGTTTAGGGCTTAGGATTTACCGGTTGCCCGGAGACCTTTCATGAAGGGTCCCTTGGATTTAAAGAGTCATCGGGGCATATTATGGAAGTCTCTGCGTAAGGATTTGGCCCGAACCCTAAACCTTAAGACAGTGATCCGGAACCTCAAACCCGCACCACGAGCCGCATAGGCCCTAAGCCCTAAGCAACAACTGGATTAATGTTCAGAAGCCTAATGCAACTTACGAGGGTCGGGATAGAAGTGAGCAACTCACTTTCCTGGTTATGGAAACTTACATTCAACCCTAATACAAGAACCCGCAAGACCCTAACCCTGAATTCCAAGCTGTAATCCCAGGGCCTAAATCCTGAACCGTCGAATCCCTAGTACACCCGACAAACCTGTGCAAAACACATTGAACTCGAAACTCAAACTACCACCCCTGAACTCCAAAACCCCATATTCCGTAAACTTTCAACTCCGAGAAACCTTACAATGCCGACAACCCGTAGACCTTAGGCAAGAGGCCTCGTCGCCAGACCAGCCGCTCTCTGTGTAGAGGTCGGCCATGACCTGGCCGCCACTTGGGACCGGCCGGGTTTAGGGTTTAGGATATTTGAGGGCTGCAGGGTTTTAGGGTTTGGGGTAGGGCCTAGGGGTTAGAGTAGTTAAAGTTTCGGATGATGCCCGACAGTTTATGTCTCAAGGCTTTTAGAGTTTCAGGTGTGTGGAGCTTAAAGCTGGGAGCTTGAGTCCAACATACACGTTGATTTACAGTTTAGTTACTTAGTTTAGGGTTTCATTATTAAGGTTTGCGGTTTAGGTTTGTTATTAAGGCTGATCCTTGAATGAAGATTATTCAGCTATCAAACTTTGAAGACCTAAACTCGTAGTGTCCGCAAGCCTCAAACACTAAGCCCTACGTAGATCTCCTGCAACACGACTGGACCCCAACAAGCAGACTACAAAGTGAGAAGTCAGCCCAGAAGCCTGAACCCCTACGGTAGCCCTAGACCCTCAACCCGAAACCTTCAGCCATAACTCCTGCGGCCGGAACCTCAAAGCACTGACCCCTAAGCCTGAAACCAAGCTTCAAAATTATAGCTCGCAAAACTACCGCTCAGGCCCGTAACCACCACCATCCCCCGTGCCACTTTCGGAAGAGATAAACCCTAGACTTCAAAAGTAAGATCCCCCTGAACAAGATACCTGTGGCTCTTTCAGGGCTGCTCCTTACCTAGACCCACTACACCCTACTTTTTTTTGGGTCCTTATTATAAACCCTAATATGGGATTTACAGGGACCCTACAAAAAACTAGGTTCTGGTGGGTTAAGGTACACTCTAAACCGGAATGGCGCACCCTTCGGAGCATCTTCTGCGCGAAAGAGGTGCACCCTCCCATGACAGCGACATAGAGAACCTGTCTTTCTAAAGGGGCTCCTTCTAATACCCGGTTTTGTTTTTTGGGAGCTCCTTTTCTCCAGTGCCCCGAAAGGTCTGAGTCTAATACCCGGGTTGAGGATTTAGGGGTTCAGGCTTTCAGGGTTTGGGATCAAGGGTTGCGGGTGTGAGGCTTTTGAAGCCTCTGCAACTATGAGTAAAACAAATCCCTGAAGCCCAGAACGAAACTTTACAACATACCCCCAAAAGGTCTACCCGGTGGGCTGTATGTACATTGGGGTCTAAGCCGTCTCGATCGATGCTTGATGATAACGTCGAATATGTTTTCCGGTCTTTGAGCTTTGAGCGGATTCCCAAGGACTTTTCAGGATGTTGATTCAGTCAATTTTAAACCCGAAACCGTTGGAAGGGCTTCAAGAGGGGGCATACAAGGTGGGGAAAAATCTCGAGGTTCGGTCAGGGTGGCGCTTAGAATGCAGGTGTAGTAAGGTCTTCTGCCGGTTTGGGCTTTTAGGCTGGAGGGTTCAGGGCCTAGGGTTTAGGGTTGTTGTTGCTTCCGTCTAAAGCTCAGGGTCTGGGTTTTCGTGTGTCACGTTTGCTCAGCCACGGGTTCACGTCGAGACCTTAAATGATTGTAATGAAAGTTTTCGGGCATAATTATTTCTTTTTAGCATGCTTTATTCATGAACGGTTAGAGTCATGGATTCAATTTGCAGGCGTTCTATCCGATTCTATCCGAAAGGCTAAGGGGTTGGTGTTAAACCTTGCCCCCGAAGCCCACAATTAACGCGTGCGAAATTGTCTTAACGCAACCTAAGCCCCCTAAACTCTAAACCCCTAAACCCATAAAACCCTAAAACCCTAAACCCTCAAACCCTACAACCTTAAAACCCTAAAATTAAAACAAAAAAAACCCTCAACCCCGCGACCCGCTAGACCGGCTAATCCGCCTCGCTCCGTTCGTCACTTCGAAACTCGGCGATGTCGCCGGGGATGCCGGTTTATGGCTTCCGGGTTTTAGGGTTTAGGGTTTAGGGCTTAAGGGTTTTAGGGTTTAAGGGTTTGGGTTTGGGGTGTTTCGCCCCACGAACTCGTGTCGGCGCCGTCGGTCGTCGCGGTCTTCTTTGGTGCTGCGCTTGGGCCCTGGTCCTTGCCCTTATCGTCGTGCTTCTCCACAACAGCGGGCTTCTTTTTGCATGGCGGCTGCTTTGCTTTCGCTGTGGATGTTGCCTGGCTGGCGGTCTATGCCTTTCCCGAGCACTTTGGCATGCGCCCGGAAGGCCACGAAAACGAATATAGAAGCCTGAACCAGTAGTGACGCGGTGTCATATACTAATAGTATCCCCAAACCCCTTTCTTTTCATGAAGTCCCGACGAAGGCCTCAAACACTCGCCTCGTTCTACAAAGCCTCAAGCCGTGCTCAACCCCAGAACCCCTGAAAGACCCCTAATTATTAGACCCCCGTGAGAGGCTATGACCTACGTCAAAACCCCCAAAACCACATGCCTTGCCAGCTACCCTATAGCCCCGAAAACCTGAGTCCCATACCCTAAACCTTAGCCACTCCTGATTCCTAAACCCTACGTCCCAAATCCCAACCGCCGTAAACCCAAAACTCAACAAACCAAAGTCCCAAACCCTAAACCCCAAAGACCCTGAGTCCTAAGCCCTCCGTGCTAAACCCCTCAAACCGTTATGCAACCATGTGGCGTGGTGGACCGGCTGGTTGTTGTGGGCATAGCGTCCCAAACCAAATTGGGATCCCAAGGATCTCCTAGGCAGACTATTTGTAGCTTGTGTTGTGTGTGTATATATATATATGTTATATATATATATATATATATATACTTATATAAATGTGTGTATGGGTTAGAGCGGGGGTTTAGGGATTCGGGCTTAGGGCTCAGAGTTTTTCTTGAGCCTAGGGTTCAGGATTTGACATTTAAAGCTTCGGGTCCACATTTGCAATCACCCGGGCACATGCCATGGCAGAACGGCAGACTCCAAAAACCCTTGAAAGCCTTTCCAGGAATCAATGCTGCAAGCGTTTCTTAGGATGAAGGGTTCTCAACCTGTGAGGATGTTGCTACTCATTCTGTATCAGGGGTCGATTGTTGCGAACTTGCTGTGTGCTACAGCACCTAAACCCTATACCCTTCAGCATAAACCCAAACCCCTAAACATAAGCCCTTTGCGAAAAGGGGCATTAACAACTAGAATAAGGTTTTGGGGCCGATTATACTATGGTAGAATAGCAATATATATTTATTCGTATCAAATACTACTATGATTATTATTATGAAGGCCCCTGTATTACAACAGTTTCGCCTGCCAAGCCGAGCCACGCCTCTTCCATCTCGTGGATAACAGTACCGTAGGTTCCCACCTTGAAGTCCTGCACACAAAGCCTAAACCCTCAAGCCCCAAACCCTAAACCCCAAGCCCGAGACCCTGAAACCCCAAACCCGAGACCCTCAACCCTAGACCCTAACTCTAAACTCTAAACCTAGTTTCCTACACTTCCTGGGTACGGCGCCCCTATGTCATCGAGGAGTAAACCGACAGGTCGGAATGTAGGCTCACTTAAGAGATCATGGGCCTTAGCAACTGGGGTTTAGGTTTAGGGTTTAGGGGAGGTAACTATACTGGTAACTACTTCGAAGAGCCCGATGCTGTGGAACATGCGTCCCTGTAGTAGTAACCGTGCACCCCACCCCACCCCTGCCCACCCACCCCACCCCGCCCACCCCCAACCCAACCCCACACCCCACCTTACCCACCCCCACCCCACCCCACCCCACCCCACCCCCCCACCACCCCACCCTACCATGAGTACTTCCTGCTCTTCAGCATCCTCCTCGCTAACAGCAACGGGCCCAGGCCTTGGGGCTTCTTTCGGTTTTAGTGCTTCTCAGGCTTTGAAGGTTTCGGATTTCTTAGGCGTTGAGGGCTTCTTAAAGCTTGAGGGCTTAGTGCTTCTTAGGATTTGAGGTTTAGAGTGTCTAAGGGCTTGAGGGCTTCTTAAAGCTTGAGGGCTTAGTGCTTCTAGGGGCTTTCGGGTTTAGGATAGGTTCTTGAGATTTCGGTCTTGGGCCCTCAGCCCCAAACCCTAAATCCTAAGATTTGGGTTAAGGCACTCCCAGAGAGCCCAATACCCCTTAATTAAGGAATATAGCTTAAATCACTATAGGAAGCCCAATAAAATTTAAGCCATATTCCATAATTAAGGGATATTGGGCTCTCTGGGTTCTTTGGGCTTGTGTTTTTCGGGCGCTGACTGCTACAATCGGTCGCCGGTCCGGGCTGCTCTCGAACATCTCCGTCACCTTCTTGCAAAACTCCGTCCTGACGTCTCAGGCTTAGGGTTTAGGGATTTATGCAGTTTCTGTTGCACGGGCTTGTATAAGGAGTATACCTTACCTTACATCAAAAGATGCTTGTATGAACAAATATACCTTAATGTATAGCAGGGCTTGATAGTCTGATTTGAGATGTATTTCGGATTAAGATATCCAGCATGCCTGAGCCTGGGATCCCGCGCTACTAAACTCACCCTGGAGCCCGATACCCTCAAACCCAGAATCTCGACCTAGAACACTGGAAGCTACATGCAGAGTGCGGCAGAAGGGCTTGCCGCCCATGAGCTCGACGAGGCCCGGGACGTCCTGCACCGGTTTTCGGTAATCATCACCATCACCGTCATCGGCATCGGCATCTTCACCGTCATCATCCTCGTCACCATCATCGTCGTCAACGTCAGCAGCGGCGCATCAATTACAGTATAATCATCAACAAAGGTATCCCAGCTTCGTTGCCGAAGAGCTCACACGCCACATGTGATTCTACCAACCAGGCCTAGGCAGAGCATCCGTCAAACCAGTCGTGAAGCCGGTCCTTTACCCCACGAGCCGCAACGAATAAATGACACACAGGCGCACGCACAGACACACGCACAGAGAATCAGCAGCCCGACCCCACCTCCACAAAAAGCAAAAGGAGGCGAGCACACTCACACCTAAGACGCGAACAGGCTTCTCCAGCACGGATTCAGAGCAGTCCAAGACCACAGAAAAAACCGCTGGAACACCACCCTAAACCCTAAACCCTAGACCGGGTGACATCCCCAGTTGCGAAGACCGCCCCCCAAAATCGAAACCTCGCCACGCGATTTTTCTGGCGGGAAGAAGGAAACTAATCTCGAGAACACCCAGAGCGCGTGGCCCTTGGAAGGGCTTTCCAAGAGACTCCGAAACCCCTTAGTCAAGGAATATAGCTGTTTAGGGTTTAGGGGACATTACGATCCCTGTAATTAAAGAATATACCTTCAACCATACTAGACTTCCTACAATAACTTAAGGTATATTCCTGAGTTAATCTTAGAATAAGGGGTTTTGGAGTTTCTGGGTTGCACCCCGCGGACGTTCCGAAGGCTTCTGGACTCTCGACCCGACATACTCAGCCCAAAGGGCTTGAGGGCTTTAGGGTTTTCCGGTTTCCACTTAGAAGCTGCCCCCGCCCTGTAATAGTGACTATAAGGCTACTATAAGGATTATATTAGGGCCCTATTATATTCCTATTATACGACTATTACAGGGTGGGGACAGCTTCTTAGTTTCCACTCTTAAGAAAGGCTCAGGGTTCAGGATTCTGGGTTTAGGGGGGTTGTCGTCAAAGGTTTAGGGAATGCTCTTCCCAAACCCCAAGACCCCAAACCCCAAGACACTAAACACCAAACCCCTACACCCTAAACCCCAGAACCCTAAACCTTAAACCCTGCACCCCAAAACCCCAAAACCCCTACACTCTAAACCCCAAAACCCTAAACCTTAAACCCTAAACCCCAAAACCCCAAACCCCAAACCCTGGACTCTAATCCTAAGCACCGCATGCCGACAGTGCCTGGGGTGCATCGAAGCGGTACTGAGCAGCCGCTGCCTGGAGATGAGGGGCTTTACGGGCTTCAGGGTTCCCTTAAAGGAATACTATAATGGGTACTATAAGGGTTTAGGGCTTGTGGTTCGTTCGGATTATTGAAGGTTTCAGTTTGTGGTTAAGGGTGTAGTCGATTCAGGTTCAAAGTTTAGCAGTTAGCATTTCAGGGTGTAGGGTTCAGAGTTTTGGATCGCCAAAGTCGCCAATTCCTACAGTTTCAGGCGCCAAAACTTATTGTGGCCCGAAGCATATGGGAGTTTCCGGAAACTAGGGGTACCTTATTTAGGGGTCGTTATAATAAGGATCCGACTATTTAGGGTCCCCTATTTTGGGAAAGTCCCATATACCCACAACCCTTAGCCCCAAAACCCCGCACCCGGACAACCTCAAAAGCCCGGCAGCTCTGGAAACCCGGACTCCTCACACCCTAGGCCCAAAACCTCATCGTTTCCAGAGTCTAAACCCTAAACCCTAATCCCTGAATCCCAAAGTCTGAACCCTAAACCCGAATCCCTGAACCCCAAACCCTAATCCCTAAACCCTCATCCCTAAACCCTAAACCCTAAACCCTAAGCCCTGAAGAATGAATCCTCGCAGCAGCACGCCTCGGTAAAGCCGTCTCCCCAGGCGATTGGATCCAATTGGCGATCCCAGTCACCTCGCATTTACACAAAAACCCTATAATGGACCTATAACCCTGAATAGCCTACCTTTTTAAGATTTCCCTATTATGATTTCCTTGTATAAGTCCTCAAAAAGTATCTTCAGGGTTAAGGTAAACCCTACCAGCCCTATAATGGAGCCGTTTTGGTCCTTCACAGTGGGTGTTTAGGGCATATTAGAGGGTAGTTGGGGGGTCTAAGTACAACCGGAACCCTAAACCCTAAATCCTAAACCCTGAACTCTAAACCCCGAAAGCCTAAACCCTGAACCCCTAAACAGGGTCGTCCCAAACCCCACAACCCAAAACCCTGGGATGTCGGTGCTTAGTGGGATGCGGAGTTCGGGGCCTTGGCTTTGGGGCTTCTTGCTTAGGCTTATATAGAGCTTCACGGGGCTTGGTTGGAAGGGCTCTGCAGGATATACTCCCAAACCACGCGATAACTCGACAGGACTCTTTCTTACGTTCAGTGTAAAAGGATTACTTTAATCATAGCCCGAAGAGGGCTCGGTAGGCGCACCCGTCGACCGCTGTGGTGCAGTGCAGGTTTTCCACTAACAGGGCCTTCCGAACGCGCGAAGTGCCCAAAGTCCTACCCGGTCACACTACTCGCCTTCTCTCGCGCTCTGAGGCTGTGGTTTCGAAGTTACCGCTGCTGTGTAGGGCCTTGGTAGTTGGGGATGATGAAGTGGCCTCCGGATGCTGACCTGGACTGGTAGCTGGGATGTAAGAACGCCAATCACCAAGAATGCCCAGACCCGAGACATCGCCGCCTGTCGCACTCTAGCAAGGAAGTTTAGAGCAATGTGATTGAGGACAACATCCCTTCACAGCGAGAACGCCCGTCACTCATGAAAAGTCGCAATGGCTCCACAGCGGCACAGAATCTGGGGCTCGAGAATCGAATCGGGCAAACGGGTAAACAGCCTAAACCCTCAACCGACAGCCTCTGAAACCACTTAGCCCCAGGAAAGCCCAGCAGCAAGAATACAACGTTTAGAGTCTAGAGCTTTGCAAAATAATCTCGAAACGCTTCATGCAGAAATCGGACAAACAACACGAAATTTCACGCAGTTCAAATCCAGTTCAGCGGAAGTCATATTATGAAGACACCCAACACCGGAAATCGCAAACCTTCTAAGCACCAGTCAGGTTTTTACATAATGTGAGATGAAGCGCCGTTCGTCCGCTTTGCCCGGAAGTACTTCGTCTCGTTGTCAAAGATACTCCTGGCGACAGGCACGACAGTCTATGGCTTAAAGTTTGGGGCTTAAGTATTGGAGCTTAAGGCTTAAAGGGCTACGGATATTTAAGGCTTTCCGGGCTTAGGGGCTTCAGGGATCAGAATTAAATCGCGGTGGTGCCGAAACCCTTCCCTCAGCACCCCCTCAATCCTTGCAACCCCGACCCCTTAAGATGATGAAGCAATCCGCCCCCAAACGTTCCCAAAGAACGCTCGGAAGCTCGCGGAAACGTGCGGGGTCTTAACGTTTAGGGCTTGGTGTGCTCCGCGTTTTGGTTGTTTAAGATTCGAGAATGCGCGGCCATGATGAGGAAGCTACGGAGTGGATTTATCGGCGCGGCAAGCCCCCGCTTCAAGGCACTGAAAAACGGTAATTACACCGCCTGATTTTTCCAGGTAGGGTCTAGCGCTTAGGACTTGAGGCTTGGGGCTAAGCCCTGACCCTAAATTCGCGGCTCGATTCCTGGAGCTTAGGATGTCAGGTTCTAGGGCTTTGGGCTTCGGGCCAAGGCTTGCGGAACCCTGAAAGGAGCCCTTCACCCGACCCCCGAGCGCTTCAGTGCATGGAATCCGAAACCTACCCAGAGAGCCCAATACCCCCTAATTAAGGAATATAGCTTAAATCATAATGTGAAGCCCTATATAATAGAAGCCATATTCCTTAGTTAAGGGGTATTGGGCTCTCTGGGTAGATCTTAAGGCAATTGGGGCTGATGATCATGGCACATGCCATGCGGTGTCCTCCACTTGGCACCGTCATTAACCGTAAAAGACACCACTAGTAAAGGTGACCTTCGGACCTTGAGACTTGTAAACTCTAGCACCATAAAAATACGAAACCCTAGACCCCAGACCCTAAACTCTAAACCCCGAACTCTAAACCCTAAAACCCCGAAACCCCAGACTCTCAAACCTCTTCGCCCTGAAGCCTCAAAATTCCGAGGCCGCCCCAAACAAGCTGTTCTGCTGATGAACACAATCCTGCAGCGCCACCCAGCGAGCCCAATACCCCTTAATTTATAAGGTTCCTTTAAAAGGGGTCTAAAAGGGAGCTATAAGGGATCTATAGGGATTAGGGTTTCCGATACCCCTTCATTAAGGAATATAGCTTAAATCATAGTATGAAGCCCTATATAATTTAAGCCATATTCCTTAGTTGGGCATAAGCACCCCCTTAAACTTATGGTATATAGGTGGTTCCTTACTATGGGCCGAACCCCTGAAGTAGGTCATACAAACTGAAAATATCCCTTGAGTGATTGTGATATTGAGGGGACAATCCTTAGTCCAGAGGGGTGGGACTTTCTGAGTTAACCTCCACCAACCCTAAACCCTAAACCCTAAACCCTAAACCCTAAAACCCTAAACCCTAAACCCTAAAACCCTAAACCCTAAACCCTAAACAATAACACCTACCGAGGCATCCTTCTTATGGACAAAGCGGGATTAACTTCTATCACCAGCTCCCATCAACCCTAAATCCTAAACCCCCAAAACCCTAAGCCCCAAACCTAAACCTCCCTTTAACCCCAAGCCCCGAGCCCTAAAACCCAAACCCTCAAGCATCAACGCGTAGAAACTCACGGACCTGAAACTCCGACTCCGCCCCCGCAGCTGGTTGGCGACATCCGCCTGCTGTCTTCAGGGCTCAGGGCTTAGGGCTTACCCTAAGGCCCCAAAGTAGTTCCTTTTTGGGGTTCATATTTGGAATCCTATAAGGTAATCCCAAAAAGGAACTACTTTGGGGCCTATGGGTGGGGTGTTGGCTTTTTCTGAATGCCCTTTTCCCTCCCGCAACAGCGAAATCCAAGTCCGGAAGGCGCAGGTATCAGAGGGTGTTAGGGGTTTAGGGCTTAGGCTGTTGGGGTTTAGGGCTTTGTAGTTTGGGGTTTTCGGGCTTTCGGGTCTTAGGGTTCAGGATTTAGGGTTGAGGGTTTAGGTTTAGGATTCTGTATTTTTAAACCCTCGTGTCTTTTCGCCTCGCAGCATCCAGACTAGGTTTAGGATTCAGGATTTAGGGTTCAGGGTTTCATTTCGGTTTCATGCGGTTTTAATACGGGGTCTTTAAAGAGGGTGTTGAATCAGTGGGCTACATCATGCGGGATCAGGAGTGGTGGGGCTCTTGCTGTTCATACAGCGAATCCCAGAAAGTTGGAATATGGCTTTAAATTTAGGATGATTAGTACTAGGACCCCTTATATTTTACCTTAAGGGCATGAGGATAATGGTGTTCCAACTTTCTGTCTTCTACTGTAGGGCTTATCACCACGCCTAACTCAAATGTCCCCTACATAAGCAAGCCCCACTCCTCGAAGCAACGGTGTGAGGAAGGGTTCAGGGCTTGGGGGGGTTTGAAGTTCATCGGTTTAGAGTCTTAGGGTTTAGGGTTTAGGGTTTAAGGGGTTTTAGAGGGTACTATTAATTGCTTTTTGAGCGCCTTTTTCCCTCAGCCTGTGAGTAACGGGTGTGAGGAAATCGCACGGCGAAAGCAGGTTGTACGGTTGTACTATCGGGTTTAGGGTTCAGGGTTTAGGTTTTGGGAGTTAAGGCTTGTAGGGTCTAGGGGTCCCCAGAGACGACCCATTCTTCGGACCTGGGGGGGGAGCATCTATACTGAACTCAGACCCCGAGCAAAAATGAAAAGGTTAGCTGTTTGTGAGGGATTCTCGTAACCCAAAATTACAAAATATTTCGCGCCAGAACACTGTTTTGGGCTTTTGAAAGGCTAAGTAAGCCTCTGAACTTAAACTTCTCGCTAGAGGCCTCGGGCTATTGCCAGGTTCCTAAGGCTTTCGACTGAACAATGGCATAGGCCAAACCCTTACTAAACCCCAAACCCTCCCAAACTCAAATATCCTCAATTCTAAGCTTCTCGGTCTTCAAGCCTGAAAGCTCTGTGTGGTGAGCCCGACTGCTCTAAAGCCCTGAAACCCCACATCCTAAATCAAAAAACCTTGAGTTGAACCCTCAACCCTAATGCTCTAAAGCCCCGAGTCCCAAAAACCCTCAACCCTTAAACCCTCAAAAAAAAAAAAACTGAACCTGAACCCTAAGTCCCTTCAACCTTGAACCCTGAAGCCTAGAAGCCCTGAGTCCCCTTAAACCCTTTAACCAAAGGGGAAGAGGAGGGACCCTTAATGAGGACCCCTACCCTATAATGGGCTATATAATGGGTATATAATAACTATGTTAAGGGTATATATGTAGGGGTCCTTATTAAGGGTCCCTCCTTTTACCCTTGGACTTAACTTGAACCCTGATCCCAAAAGCCCTTAAACCCTAAACCAGCAGGGCCTTGCCGAGGGCCTCAGCTGCCAGAGACGCGCAAGCGTCGGCGAGGTTGTAGTTCAGGGTCAGGCTCGCGCCTTGCACAGAGGGAAAAACTGGGAGTTTCCGAAAACTAAGAGTACCATATTTTGGGATCCTAAAAACCCTCAACCCTAAGGATCCTACTATTTAGGGTAAGGGTCCCCTAAGTTTCGGAAACTCCCAAATGGGTTCAGGGTTGGTTGGGGCTTGGGGTTCAAGGTCAGGCTCGCACTTGTATCGCTTCGGATTTTAGGGTTTAGGGTTTACGGTTTGGGGTTCAGGCTTTGGGGGTGTAGATTTAAGGTTTCGGGACTGGGCTGTTTGTAAAGGTTTGGGGTTTAGGGTGTCAGGGTTTGGTGTTTAGTGTTTACTTAAAGGATCATGGGACTTAGTAACTGGGGCTCGAGTTAGGGTAACTCAACTTGTAACTACTTATAACCCCAATTACGGTACTTACAACCCTAGTTACGAAGTCCCGTGATCCTCCAAGTAGGGTTGGGATTACATGGCTTGAGGATTGGGGTCAGCTTGGCGCTTCAAAACTTCTACATCCTTTCGATGATCTCAGTTGGTTTCAGGCTTCGGCTTTCGGATCTGGGGTTGTTTGGAAGCCCACCAGAGTTCCTAAACCCTAAACCCTAAACCCTAAACCGCTTCAGGTTTGATCGGGGCTTAGGGTCAATTCATTGTTCGATGCACATTTTGGCTTGCAGGGTTTATGGCTCCGTAACTGGAGGGACAATCAAATCTAAAGGGCTCCACCATGAGGTAAAGGAGATCTCTGCGTCTCGCGCAGGGTGCAAGACTAACCCCGAACCCGACATCCCAACTCCCAAAACATCAAAACCCTAAACCCTAAGCCAAAAAACAGTAAGTGCAATGTACACCTCTGCAAGGAAGTCTTCTTAGTTGAAGGCTTTAGCGCTGTAAGCTCAGGAAACTCTTGCAGAAAGCTGCTTTGAACGTTCTACGTAACATTACGTTTCAAACGAGCCGAGTAGCTCTGCTCCCCTGCGAAGCGCTTCACGTCGGGGTGGTTGCTCGGCGCATAACCCTTCGAGAGGTACTCCTGCTGATTGTTCGGGTTTGAGAGTTCGGGGTCTGGCGCGGAGGATTCAGGGCTTGGGGTTGGGGTGAGTGAAGCCTTAAGAACACCTTTGTCAATATCATCCCTAACCCTAATTACAAGTGCTCACAAACATATACGAATCCCTTCAAACTCCCTAGTATCAGGGCCTTAATAATTGGAATAGGGTTTTGGGGCCCATTATACTATAATCATAAAAAGGAACCCCCAAAATAGTATAGGTAATTATTACAGCCCCTGCATTAGACCCTAGACGCTGTAACCACTTGAACCCACGCCTGGAGAGCGATCCGACCAAACTGACCGCTCTTGTCTGCGTCCTCGGCTTAGGGTTTAGGGTTTAGGGTTTAGGGTTTAGGGTTTAGGGTTTTGGGTTTAGGGTTTAGGGTCTGCCACCAAACGTCCAAACACAAACTGAGAGAGCCCGAAACACCTTGGTTGAACTCTCTGCCTTCAATCCGAATACGATGCCCTCTACAGTTCGGTATAACATGGGGGCCTTGATGATTAGAATAGGGCTTGGGGGTATATTATACTATAGTTATAATAAGGAGCCCCCAAAACCCTATTCTAACTATTAAGGCCCCTACATTACTCCAAATTTAATGAGACCAAACCCTGTTGAGGCCCTCCCTCAGCAGTACAGAGTACCCTCTAACCGCGCGAAAACCCTAAACCTTGAACCCTGCAATCCTATAATCCCACAATCTTATAACCCTAGAATTCTATTATCCGATAATCCTTCAAGCCTCTACCATTACATCTGTAAAATGTCAACAGTTCGTGCCAGAAGCTGGAAGGTGCCGAGTTTCAGGATTCTTGGCGTCAGGGGTTTTACGGCGCAAAGCCCTGACACCAAATACCCTGAAACCCGGAACCCTGCAACTATTAGCAACAATGGACCAACTGTTGCCATTGTTATTTCTTGTTTTTCTGCCATGTTCCATAAAGGCCTGAGTGGCGCTGGGCTCAGTCGTAGCATCCTTGTAGATGGCCTCGAAGGCCTTGTCTTTGTCGAAGCCCGACAGGAGCCCTGCGTGGACGAATGCAGACTGACATCATGAATGTAACTCTAATCAAAGGGGAAGAGGAGGGACCCTTAATGGGGACCCCTACCCTATAATGGGGCTATATGATGGGTTTATAATGGCTATATTAAGGGTCCCTCCTTTTACCCTTGGAATATCATGAATGTAACAATAATGGTAACAGTAATGGAGAAGTGGCGTACTGCTTTGGGGATCCAACAGTAAGTTGTGACAAAGCAAGAAACTCACAGCAACCCGCTGCAACGTCAACCAGCCGTCTCATCATCACAACCTAAACCCTAAACCCTAAACCCTAAACCCTAAACCCCTAAACCCTAAACCCCTAAACCCTAAACCCTAAACCCTAGACAACTACCACGAACATCATCACCAAGCCTGATGCACCCCACAACCTCCTTGCCCCAAACCCCGGAGGCCCAAATCCTGATTACCATAGGGGCCGTAATAATTAGACTAGGGTTTTGGGGCCCATCATACTATAATTTTAATAAGGAACACCCAAAATAGTGTTGGTATTCATTCAGGCCCCTATACTAAATCCTTATAGTAGCTCTTATAGACCACTTTAACGGAACCCTATGCTGTCTATACTATATCAAGGCCCCTGTATTATAGAACCCTTATAGTACCCTGCCTTGGGTGCTCTTCACGACTGCATCCGCCAGGCTACAGTCTCCCATAGTGCCGACCATGGAATGCCGCCTTTCCGGGAAGGTTCGGACCCAATGGTTGATGATATAAATCCTGCATTACCTTGAGGACCCTAAACTACAGGAATTGTGAAATATTCCTTCTTGTGGGTAATGCAGGATTTATATCATCAACCGATGCACCCTGCGAAACATGCGAGAAGCAATACCAGTGAAAACACTGGTAGATTAACAAAACTCTAGAGCCCTACATTACAAGCAAAACTCGAAAAGCACACAAAAAAAACATAAAGAACAGAGGTGCTGGTTGTATGACGCCCAGGCGGGCAGCCAGCCCTTCTCACGATAAGCGCCGACCTTGCTGTGCGGTTTAGGGTTTTGGACCAGGGTTTATAGGTTTTAGGGTTCAGGGTTTAGGATCTAGGCCCTTAGTTGTAGGGGGAGTTTCCCTGGTTCTGGTTGATTTCGCAAGGGTTGTCCATTGTTGCTTTGCGGGGCTTGGATACAAAGGTTCGATGAAGGTTTCATAAAGAGCGAAGAGGTCTAGTACGGGCTTCAGAGGTAAGGCTTTTGGGGGTTCAAGGTGTAGGGTTTACGGCTTGAGTCCTTGAGGGAGTCAAGCTTTAGGATGGAACAGGGTTCAGGGCTTAGGGTGTCTCCGGGCTCAGGTTCCATTAGAGTGTAGGGTTTAGCGTTTAGGGTTTAGGGTTCAGTGGCTCCTTGACTTTCAAAGGCATTGGGGTTTTTTTGACACACTGAGGCTGTCTTTTGTTTGAGGGATTGAAACTCTGCCTTTAAGGTTCTATGCCCAACGCACCATCTGACAGCCCTCTCCCACACCAAAGCCCTAAGGGTCCAAGTACCTAATTATCATATACTCTCCCGAATAGTAACCTGCATAACTACTATCCCAAACCCGAGTACCTAACCATTGGGCCCTTTCGACCCTTGAGGAAGACAAAACAGGGCAAAGAACGTACTGCGTCAGGTCCGTGGCCCTCTAAGACCCTGACAAAGGCCTGAAAATCAGAACCCCAAGCCTTCTAACACCTCCGCGGCAAACCGCGCACCTTACTTGGAGGTTCATGGGTAGTTATAAGTAGGGTTACAAGTAGGGTAACTCTGGTTATAACTTATATTAGTGGACTTAGAATCCCACTTACAACTATCAATGAACCTCCAAGTAGACCCCACACCCTATACCCTTATAGAATCCCTATAAACCCCTTTAAAGGGACCCTTACCCATGAACCTCCAAGTAGTCTGGCAAACAAAAAACCCGACCCCAAGCCCAAGCCTTCACGCCTACGGCGCCCTAAACCCTAAACTCCCTAAACCCTTCACCCAACAACCCCTCAACCCTGAAACCCGAAACCTACCGTTTGGGTTTCGGGTATACGCTCAACCCGAAAACTTTCAACCTGCTGTTTGGGTTTAGGCTTCGGGTATCCTAAACTAACCCTACACCACTGATCGATGCCCGGTGGCCCAGCCATCAATGATATCGCCCAGGATGTCCGGGAAAAGCAAGCTCAACATCCTTCAGATTGTGGTTCCCTGAAACCTTGAAAAAAACACACCAATAACCTTTACATTGAAAAACACACCAATAACCTCTACATTGAAAAAACACACCAATAACCTTACAAGAGCCGCGAACCCTGAACGCTGACCTTACAGCCCAATCCCTAATCCTTAAACTCCAAAGTCGTTGTCGCTGAAACACTAATGCCCTAAAGCCCCAAAGTCCTAAACCTGAAACCGAAAACCCTGAAGCCCGAAAACCACAAAAATCCTGAAGAAGCTCCTATAGTTTCAATACAGAGGCCTTCATAGTTGGAATATGATATAGGGTGTCTGTATCATGAGACTGGCACCCAGGGTGTATTATGTAATGACTTCATTACGGAACCAAATATTTTTCTGGTTTAGGGTGCATTAAGCCTCGTCAAAATCGCTAGGGCTTTGTCTAGCTTTTCTCGGCATTCTAGAGTTTAGGGTTTTAGGGGTTTCGGGTTTGCTACGGTGTTTATTGGGGGTGATGATCCTGGAAGCTCCAAGCCTGCCCCTACAAGCACGCACTAGGTGAAACTGTCTACAGTCTCGTCCACCGCAATCACATAGCCCACAAGAAACATCACGAGCACTGCGCTAGAGCTCACAGCCGAAGGCCAAGGACCACTACCCAAGTGCCCAATACCCCTTAATTAAGGAATTTTTGCTTAAATCCTAGTATGAAGCCCGATATAATTTAAGCCATATTCCTTAGTTAAGGGGTAGTGGGCTCTCTGGGTACCAGAGCCATAGGAGCTTTCCCGGAGGGACTGCATCGTCAGATCCAGAGCCATCACTCGTTATCACCCACAGGGTGTAGGTTTTAGGGTTTAGGGTTTAGGGGATGGCCCCTTCTCCACCACCTGCTTAGGAGGATCAACATTAGGTTCAGCATCACCCCAGACTGCAATAATTAGAGTTTAGGGCTTATCGAGTTTCGGGTGGAGGGGGGGACAAGCTTTCACTGCGTGATAGGGTAGATAGTAGAGTGTATGGCGTATTCACAGAAATTCATGTAAAACAGAGGTCATTGCGGTTACGACCACACGGGGAATCCACCGTAGGGCTATCTCAGAAACAGGTAGGTTGAACCACTACCGACATGACCCCTGTACAAGACAACACAAACGCAGAACCCTGCACTGCAAAGTCTCCTAAGCCCTGAACCGTAGAGGCTTGTCTCAGCAAGCGGCGGATAGTGCGTGCGGTAGGCGTCCCAGAAACCCTCGTCAGTTACGGCATGGCCTCCGCCACGGCGGCTTTTGGGCTTAGGGTCGTGGCAGCGTCGTGCTGATTCGGGATGTCGTTGTCGATGCCGGTACTGTTAGTGGTGTTGTTGTTCCTTCTTTTGTTGTCGTTGTCGTTGTCGTTGGTGGTCCTGGTAGTGGTGGAGTTGGCGGTGGAGGTGTTGGTGTCACTGTTTGCCCTCGGGCTCGTGTTAGTGATACTGCCCGTCCTCGTGTAAGTGCTAGCGTTGGTGGTCAGTGTTAGCACTAGTGTTAGACTTAGTGTTGGCTTTGGTGTGACTGTTTACGTTGACTTGTGCTAGTTAACGAAAGTGTGAGTGATGGCATTAGCACTGCTGTTACCATTGGCGTGAGCGTGAGCGTTCGTGCTAGTGCGAGTACAACTTGTACGTGCCATTGCCATTTGGGTAGTTGTCAAAATTATGGTCCCTTTTTGGGATACCCTAAATATTAGGTGCCGTACTATAATAGGTACCCAAAAAGGGACCATAATTTTGACAACCACCCATTTGTGTTGTCCGGGGCGTTGCTATTGTTGTTCTTCCTGCTCATGCCTTGCTTGCAGGTGGTGTCGCAGTTGCTGTGGGGTTATCAATACTCACGTTGCGATGATTACTGGCAGTATCAGCGTAGTTGTTATCACTACTGCAGGTGTTACCATAACAGTTACTGTCAGAAACATTACAACTCTACTATTGTGATGATTCTTGCTATAGCTGCTCTAAACCTTAAACCCGAAACTCTAAACCGAGGGTGTTGATGCTCACATCTTCCAGGGAAGCGGCTTTCGGGCTTGGGCTTAGATTGGGGGGTGTGGCGGTGAAGCATCCGCCGGGGGGGGGGGGGGGGCTTTTGGGGCTCGTGTCTACTTCATGGACCCGGCGTAGCAGGCGTTCCAATGACTTGTCACTATTAAAACCGCCATAGCATCGATTCCGATTCCTTGTCGTGTTAGGATATCCTTTCGAGAAAACAACGTATTCCAAATGATATCTCGTCGAAAAAGTACACTAGTCCCTAAACTCAACCCCCCCCTGCCTGGGACCACCTCCTTTGTGAAAGGTGAGCGATGTACCATCTTTCCGTCCTCGCTGAGGGAATCACACACCCGAAACCCGCACACCCAAGCCCGAAACCTAGGACTTTGAGGGGTTAGGTGATTTGTTTAATATACTGGGTTTAGGGTGTTTTTGGTTGAAAGTGCAGGGGTTCAGGGCTCAGGGTTTAGAGACCCTACACCCTCAAGCCAAAAAAATAGACGATTAAGACCTGAAGCTTTGGCTTCCACCTTGAGCCCCTGCACCCACCGATTCGGAATGTGCTCTGCATGCCAAACCTGCCGGGTCTGAGGGCAGAGCTTGTGTTTTTTTTGAGGTCTAGGAAGTGAGCATGTTTACATGTAACACCAGGGGCTCAATAATTGGAATAGGGCTTTGGGGCAAGTTATGTCATCACCATGAGAGGGAACCTCAACGAAAAAACTGTTGCAGCTACTGCTTCAGAACGCAAGTTCGGGCCAGAGCACCAGGGTTTGGGATTCAAGCTTCAGGGGTGTAGGGCATAGGGTTTGACACCAAGCCCCAGCAGGGCATCAGAGGCAACGCGGTCCTTGTCGAACTCCCAGAGAAATCGAGGGAAAAGCATACCGCCTTGAATGGGACCCAAAGCCCTAGATGCTCAACCATAAACCCTAAACCCGAAATCCCCAACCCTAAAGCCTAAACCCCTAGTATAGCCATTACAGATCCCTTTAAAGGAGCCCTTATTAAACCCCTTTAAAGGAAACTAAACCCTAAGCCGAGGAGGCAAAGGGC